AATTCAAAGGCCGCAAAAAAAAAAAAAAAAAAAAAGTTACTTCTGGTTTATAAATTGATTTGTAATCAGTATTAATGACATCAAATAGCAGAACTGGTATCATCTGCATCAGCCAATATGGTGGACCTTCAAAAATTGTGTTGGAGAATGTGGGGCCTTTGAGTCAAAAGGTTGAGAACCACTCAAGCTCATGTTGAAGTTTTATATCAAATCAAACAAGATAATGCTAAGACATTTCCTCCAGTATGTCTGCTGTAATTATGGATTCTGGATGTTTTTCAATAAATTAATAAAAAAAATAGTTATTAAGAGCGGAAAAAAATATATGCATACATATATATACACATGCATACATGCATACAGTATATATATATATATATATATATACATACATATTAGTGCTGTCAAACGATTAATCATTAATCGCATCCAAAAGTTTGTGTTTACATAATATATGTGGGTGCACTGTATATAATTATTTTATATATATATATATATATATATATATATATATATATATACACACACATGCTTGTATATATTTAAGAAATATTTTCATGTATATACACTATATACAGATTTATATATATAATTTATATGATGTGTAAATTAATTAATATTTTATATATAAATAATTGATATACATGTTAAGTTAATAATTAATTAATTAATTAATTAATAATCAATCATAAACAAATAAATTAATAAATAATATTTACAAGTCACACTTTAGATTAGGGTCTAATTTTCACAATTTACTAAGTATTACTTGTGACTTTTGCCTAAATAAACTTATAATAAAATGAATAGCTAGTTGTTAAATTAAGGTATTGGGTAGGATTGAGGTCATGTAGAATAAGGTAATAATGCTTTGTGTGTGTTTTAGATATGCACATAAAAACAATTGGTTAAACAAAACGAAAGTTAACCTTCAGCATTAAAAATGTGAGTAAACTCAACAAAATGCGAATAACTCAACTTAAAGATAGCCTTTGTTTCAATTCATAAATAGTCAAGACAATTGATTACTTGAGAGTTTAATTTTTGAACACTTATAAAGCGATGAAATGAGTTCTAATAACTTCAATCATGTTTTACAGCGTAATTTCCAATGATGTCCATGTCTAAAAAACAAAACACAGATATTGAAATAAAATAACTCCACTCCCCCATCTGTCCTAACATTGTCACACAAGTGCTTGCTTGGGACTGTTTTGGTCATGAGTGTACTGATTTCTGCCGTGTACTGATAATAGGACAACACCATGGTGTTGATTCTTTGACACACTGAAGGTGTAAGTCATTAACTCTCAGTTTAATCGGAGGTCATGTACTGTACATATTCGGCTCCCGACGGTCCTGGCAGGTCCACGTGAGTGTCTTGTTGTGGAACACAGAATTTTGTGCAGTGCTGTGAACATGCTTGTTATCAACACACAATTATCTGGCCTAATCATGTGGAACTGCACAACAATCACCAGGGACCAAGGAACTAACAACATTCTCACCCAGACTCGTAAATATGCATTTATTGGCACTGCATCACAAGAAAGCCAGTGTTCCTGTCAATATTCTCTTCAGAATATTTCCTCTTGATTTGATTTTCAGTCTATATTTCCAAGGCTTTTTTTTGTGTGTATTCTCTGACTGATTGATTTTCCCTCCCATGCATGTAACGCTCGGCTAGATAAACCTCTTTAGAAAGCTTCTCTGGAACACCAAAGTGTGATGCACATTACTGTACAGTATATTGCAGTCTATAACGGAGTGGTCCACAAAGTACAAAACATCTATTGCACACTTATTTTCTCTTTCAACACATTCAGAATTAATTCACACATCTGTGTCGCATCCTACCGAGAGTATGATGAAAACTTGGGAGTTGTGGGATTGAGGCTCGAGGTGCCTTATAGATCTCACAATCACAGAAAATCCTATGATTAAATTTGAAGCTACAACCAAAGTACATGATTAGGATGATTTATTTGGAGAGTTGAATATTTCAGAGGTAGTAGACAGTTTTAAAGTACAAGGTAAAGTTAAATCACAATGGTGGCTAAATTAATGAGTTGGTTCCACTTTTCCACTTTTTGAAACCACTTTAAATGTATTTACTGAAACACAAACAATTATTAACAGAAATAATTTTCACAAGTTAAACGGAAACATGTTGTCATTGCATAATGATGAAAACACTGTGCCATGAAAGCCTATGTGAGGCCTAACTTTAATAGCATGCCATGCCCTGTGAATGTAATTAATATTATTCTCTTTACTAATAAATTATTCAAATCTAATTTGTAACTACTTATATTATTAAATTACCTAAGATACTATTAAAAACATTAAAAATATGTATTATATTAACTAACATTAACAGAGACTAATACTGTAACAAATGTATTGCTCATTATTAGTTAATGTAACAACGTCAACCAAAAGGACCTTATGTGTAACTAAGATTTCTCAACAAAAAAGTTCATTGTGTTATTTTAATTTATATTTATTATGTGTCAAACATACATTAAGTTATGAATTTATATAACTATACATTACTGTCCAGTGACTAAGTCTTGATTTCTCATGTAACAGTGACCTCTAGTGGCTGAAATGTAGATGGACACTACAAATATATCTAAATAAACACTTTGTTTAAAGTGATTTCTTACAAATGACTTGCCATGTTTTGGTCAATCTTATTGGTGAAAATTTGTTTAGCACTATATAACTGCAGCCTTTTTCAGTAAACAATGGTTAGACTGATTTATCCAAGTTGCACTAAATCCTTTCCGTCCTTATAAATGATATCAGTTCAGACCTATGTGTCCATACTGGGTTATGAGAACTCTCAGTTTGGTTCTCATGTGCAATATGATCCGAGGCCTTTAAATAACACACTGTTCAGCATTGCAGGAGGCCAACAGCTGGCTAGAGAGAAACTTAATACAGACAGACATTCTAAAGACTGGCAGTAAAACATATACAACCATGCAGAAATAGATACACAAACAATGCTGCAAACTATGGAAAAACTCATACATTAGGAGGAGCAGGCAGTGCTATATATTAATTGAAATACATGCTAAAGTTTAATGTTTGCTGCTTCAACAGTCGTATAGTGAGAGCGCATAAAGAAAGAGCACTAGGCCAAATGTGAATGCAAAATTAAGACTAAATATATGAGATGAAATTACCTTTTCCCATCAGAGACAGACTGGAGATGAGACACTGACAGGTGTGTCCATATAACAGCAGAATTGAAGGGAGATATGACTCATATGGTAGATGACATCTGTGCACTGTAAAAAATAATCCTGTAAAAAAACGGTAAACTACTGGCAGCTGTGGTTGTCAGCATCATACCATAAAAATACGGTGCGTTACCGTTTTATAAATTAACAGCTAAATACCGTATAGTCAGCTACAGCATAAAACTTTAATTTAACCCCTATATGCTGTAACACAAAAACAGTAACACGCCGTTTTATTACGGTATGATGCTGGCAACCACAGCTGCCAGTAGAGTACCGTTTTTTTACAGGATTATTTTTTACAGTCTGACACAGTGTGTGTGTGTGTGTGTGTGTGTGTATACACATACTAATAATTTTTGTATGTTTTTTTTTCTATTTATGTTTTCTTTAAGTTGACACAAAGAAAACATCCCTGTAATATTCTAGGAAGGTTAGCAATTGGTTATAAAAAAAACAAGATATCGGCAAGCCCCACATGGCGGGTAACAAGCACATCACTCACAACATCGTAACCTAACCAACGGCCCACATAAGCCGTGTAGTCCTTCTTACAACACAGAGACAGAAAGGACAGTACTAACCATGGTTGCTTCATCAGGATCTTTTTTCTCTCTTTTTGTAAATAAAAAGATCACAACTGTGCATACTAGAATTACTGCTGGGGAAGCGCTTATGGAAAAAGGTCCCAGTGGTACAGTAGGTCATACCTGAAAAGTGAGGAACTACTACAAATGCAACGACTAGCGGCACAGCTATAGGGAAGACAAGGGTTTACCATTAGGGAAACAGTGAAAATAATGGCCTGAAATCTGAAGTAGAGATTTTTATAGCCACAGCAGACACTCGCTTGAGGTCAAACGAGGAGAGTGTGGAAGTCGGCAGCCAGGTTATTTGGGTGATTATCAAGTCGTGCTTCCCTAAAGACTTAGCATCCACTGCATCTTGATGTGCCGCTATGGCAGCCACATACACGCTCAAGGTGGAAGGGGACATATGGCCCTCCAACTTCTCCTGCAGGTAGGAAAGCACTGAATCAACTGCGGATCTCTATGGGTCTTCCCCTCTGGAATCATACAAGTTAGTGAACCGACTCGGCCAAACATGGAGATTCCAGAGGTCGGGGCGTGGGTGCCAGATTGTGCCCCATCCCTGATAAATAAGGTCCTTCCTCAGGGGGATTCACAGGGAGGAGCTGTCGCAACTTAAGGAGCATGGACTTCGAAAACCAAGTCCGGGTGGGCCAGAACACAACCATCAAGACCTGGGGTCAGTTGCATAAACTGCTAAGACTAGTCTTACAAGCTTTAGTCATACATTTTTACAAGTGAGTTCCCAAAAAATAACTGGCACTAAATAAGTTGTAAATTATCTCTATTGACAGCTGATGATAAAGATTCCAAGATTTTAGATTCTGTTTTCTAAATTCATTGATCTTATTGTCAATTTATCCATGTACACATTTAATTGTTTGTGACCTCAAATTTTTCATCAAAAAGGCATATCTTGAAAAAAAAAAAAAAAAAAAAAGAAAACAACTACAGACTTCTCTCTTGTGAAGAATTCCAGGCTTTTCAAATAGTTTACTCTGCTAAAACGTCCTTTTTTTACAATCGAACTGAAGCTTGCATTCAGAACTGCCTCCATCCAATCAACAGCCAATTGATAGAACCATTTGCGCCTTATATTTTTCTTTTTCAGTTATCTGTTATTCCTACGCACATCATAATACAGAAGAAAAGATTTCACTACATTTTATCGCAACTTTAATATAAAACGCACATTTCTTTTAAATTAAAGGTTTAATGAATCTTTTGAAATATTACAGGTCAATTGTATGAGATAGCATAATATTATTTACAAAGCAAATATATATATGTGTGTGCTATGGTGTGTGTGAACAACAAGCTGTTCAAGTAAAGCCTAAAGCTTTCAGGTCAGGAGAAAAATCTGTCTATATATATGTTAAAACCTTTGGGGTGGGAAAAAACAACAACAACTTTATAGTTAATAATCAAAATGCAAAGTGGAAAATGGAAAATGGGTAAAACTATAGGAAGGTTTAAGCAGGCAGAGAGAAGGATACCAGAATGTTTTGCTATTTTTTCAGGCAACATACACATATTGAACATAATTTAATGTTTTGTGCAACACTATACTCGCATAAACACTCACACATACATGAAGTGTTCCCAAACCATTCATGATCGTTGTTTACAGTACTGCTCACAGCACACATGATGACCAAATACTGAAGCAACATTTGCAAATTTCGAAGGCAAATTCAAATCAGATTTATAATATCTGTACCCCAACCTATCGTAATGTTAACGCACACTCAAGAGTTTAGAGCCCAAACATTTTTTCTTCAGTGACAGATACTTAATGCACTTGGAACATACAATTTCATTGTTCTGTTTCCATACTATTCATGAGGTTCAGTTATAATGATGTTGGACTGTACGCCCAATCACCAGAAAGAGAAGACCAGACAGAAGACAGAAGAACACGCCCACTGGAGCAAACATGAAAGATAACCCATAAGTCACATTGAGCTCAAACTCTAAGCACTGATTTCGCTGATATTCCTCATACGAGCTCATGACCTCCAAAACATCTATCCAGATAACATACATCACAGTGACAGTGAGAAGGAAGAAACCTGGAGAAAAGAGACAGCATTGAGAGTTGGAGAAATAAAAAGCAACATGAAAGAGAGAGAGATAGTGTAAAGATAAATTAGATGTTCGTGAAATCTGTAATGCATTTTTCAGCACTGAACACATCCAAGTGAGGAAGAGATGCACCTTACCTCCTCATGAAATCTTAAACTTACCAGAAATGAGGTAGAGTCCACCCCCTGCTTTATAAAGGCGATGACTAGCAAACGGAGCTGCGCAAATGATAATGAAACCGCCAGCCACCACAGTGGCCACACCCACCAACATGGAGACGCTCCAGAAGCCTCTGTAGACTGAACAATCATGTTCCCAATTACAAACCAGAGGCGAAACGGTTCACAGTAGTTAATTTATTGATGATGTTCGGTGAATGGCATTGAAGTTTACTCATGTGAACAGAGTTACACTATACACTACACAGAGACACTAATGTAGGCCTTTAAAACAAAAAAGCCAAATTCTGTACACAGCTTGCAAACCATTTTACAGATTAATTATTTTTTTACTTAATTTACTTTTTACTGAATAATAACAATAAGTCAACAAAAAGAAAATTAGGAAAGCAAGCAAATATGGTTGAATGAATGAATGAATGAATGGGGCATTTTATGCATTCATTCTATCAAATATGGTTAATTTTGATTTAATATTGACAGCTAATGAAAAATTCAACAGCCAGATAATAATGAATGAAATTATTTGAAGCAAGCTAATTATTTATAAATAAAATAAAACATATTTTTGTGTTTTTCTGATTGTAATTTAATAAAATGCCACCTACCATGACTGTTTTCATGGTGAGTACCAGGTTAAAACGTAGCAAAATAAAATAATATTAATAAAGTAATGTAAAATATAATCTTACTTATGGCAGTCTGGTAGCTGGTAGTGTTGTAGATGTCGTCAGGGATGGGAAAGGGGAGAAGATATGCAGGTTTGCATACCCTTTCATGTGGCTGATTTTCTAATGGAAAAACAATGAGAATTGCCATTTATTAGTGTGTGAGTTTTAAATCATTGTTTCAGTTAATACTCAGAAGTGTTGTGAAGTGAAGTTGTTTGCTGACTAAAATAACCTGAATTCATATTCCCACTGTTTGAACCTTGTGTGGCCTTTCTGTAGGGCAACAGGTCAAACCTCTGATATTTGTGGCAAAGACTCACCCAGAGCTTCACAAGAGGGCCAAATACCTTGTTCAGTAAGCAAGTCACTTTACACTTTTTAATATAATGTATTGGTAGCAGTTTCATGTTTATTTGTTGAATTCATTAAAACAGCAATTATTACAGCATTTATTGTCCATTATTATGCTTATGGTAAACATATATTACTATATGTATAAATGAACATCAACCTATATAAATAAATACTGTAAAAGTTAGTGTGCTTGGAAAACCACAGAACATGTCATGTCTCTCTTACCAAACCAGAACTTCCACAGATTGTCATCAGTCATGATGTCATTAAAGGTACAGTGCCAAAAGAAGCCCTCATGATGAAAGGTAATGTTCTGGCCGTCACTAACTTGGAGCTGACCCTGGTTGACCACGACATCACCTCGCTGTGAAGAAGCAGAGAGCAGAGGTCAGAGAGCAATGGACAACTGTTGCACAGCCAGTGAAATTACAATATTTAAAAACAGATTACAAACAAACACTTCAATCTATGGATGGACACATCATGCTATTTGTGTGTTTAGATGCGCTTTACAAAAAGAATGTCAAGGACAGATTGGAATGGAGTGAATCCGAATAATAGCTTGGACAACTGTAGACCAGTCAATGATCAATAGTTAGAAAACAGCTATCAAGTTCCAAAACACAGCTAAAAGCAGGACTATTCAAGAGAAGTGAGCACTAGACCCAGAGAGCCCAGTACGAAGTAGCAGGTACGTCCTCTTAGGGATACTTCACCTCTGGAAAGATGAATGTGTATTTAAAATGGGTCATTTATGTAGAATAATGTAGTTTAATTTGGAGCAGAAAATTTATTTATGGCTTTTGTGGATGAAAGACAACAACTCCCAGAATGCACTTGCTTCGCTGCCCTAGGAAGCCGCGCCTACCGGTAACAGCGCAGTAGTTTAACAACAATTCTAGGCTACTAGTGAGTCTCCGTGATGAGTCTGCCTGAAAATGTGTTTCGAGATCGCCCAAAATGTCCGGGATTCAGCTTTTGCTGATCCAATCCTCCATAATGCATCCATCTGCGTATTCAGTACCTTCGTCCTTATTTTCAAAAAGTTTCTGCCGGTGAAATCAAACGCACTGGCACTGGATCTGTGTCTGTTAGCGCATTAGGCCCAACCCCCTATGGGTGGGATTGAAAGGGTGAGAACTTGTAGTCTTTACAGAAATTCCCCTCTCTTACACTTCCTCCTACAATGACGTAAAATTACATTTTTTTGTGTTGTGGGAGGAATTGAAAAGGGTAAATAGTGGATTTCTCTCGTCTCAGGGGAAAATTAGAGTGTTGCACGACCATTCAATAGTATGACTGGGTTTCTAACAATGGAAAGCTTAATGCAAATGGGTGGAGTGTCCCTTTAAACTCCCTTTGCATCTATTTTTCAGCCTCCACAAACACAAGCAATCCAAAACACTCTCATTGGAATTCGTAACTATTTTACATATTGGCGAACTGGTAGTTAATTCGTATGAATGTCATTTGTATGTGTTTCTCACTTTTTTTTCTCTACGCCATCGTAAAATAGTTCCTTTTTAATTTCCATTAGCTTGAGTTGGGAGCATCTCACTGTTCCCTCCAAATCCTTAATGAGGTAATCTAATTCTTGTGTGACTTCTATGAATAGATACTGCACTGAGATTCCAGTTTGGTTATTTAATATTAAGTGTGGTATCAGACTGCAGCATGTGATAGTATACACTCAAGCTACTCGGGCGGAGGCTGTAAATACTGACGTACGAGGATGTCACATGACTGTCACTGCTTAGAAAACAAATATGCCAATGACTGCTTCAGTATCTTGCTTCAGTAAAATAGTAATATAGATCAATTTAGTTTCAATAAAAAGATACACGAAAATCCAAAACATCCATAGATAGGCCAAGTTCTGTAAAGAGAGCCATTTCATTTTTTTATAATAGACCATCCCTAAATGTCTTCTGATTATAAGAAGTAATATTCATATCAATAAAATATGAAAATACTCAATGGCAAACTTTTTAACTTTTTCTTTGCACTCTAAAAATGCTGGGTTGTTTTAACCCAACTTTGGGTCAATAATGGACAAACCCAAACGTTAAAATAATGTTGAATTAAAAATTTAACGCAATGGCTGGGACCTGGGTTCGTCCATATTTGACCCAAAGTTCGGTTAAATTTTTAATTTAACCCATATTTGACCCAAAGTTAGGTTAAAACACCCCAGCATGTTTTAGAATGTATGCCAGGACTAAAACAACACCCACCTCCAAAGTAACTGGACCATTTGAACGTGTATTGCAGGTCTCTGATGCCAAGAGCCAATAGTCCGTGCCAAAAGACAAGAGAATGAACAGAGTTGCCAATGCACCAAAGAGCCCAGCAAAAAATAGTGCCACATGTAACTTCATGATGACAATCTTGGAGCACTACTTTTTCAATCGTTTACAGCTTGTTAGTCTCTCCTCCTTCCCACATGAAGTAGTCGCTGAAATTATGTAACTCCTCAATGTGTGTGATAGTCCAGTTAAGTTCAGCAAGGTTTATAGTGTGTTATCACAAATGGCTGTTCTAGAAATCTTCCTTGCTCCAGTGTCTATGTGTGTGTGTGTGTGTCTGTGTCCTCTCCCTTAGCCAGAGCAGGACCTGGCATTGGGTGGGGAGTGGGTTTCATGACAGCACACCAGCGTAGAGCTGCCCATTGGGCTATTTTGGTCAGTTGAGTGAAGGTGCCTGCTGCCTCTCTCAGAGGAGTGGTTTAAGAATGGGATTTTCCAGGAGGGAGACGAGTGGACCAAAATATCCCCCTACAGGACAATCAGCTGAGGGAGAAATGAAAATGAAGACACTAGAGCCCAGCATTTCCTAATGCCTGCCACAAATCCCACCACCAACTGACGTGATGTTATGAAATTAAAACAAATCCTGTACATCCCGTACATTTGGGGTCTTTTTTTTAAACAAATTAATATTCATAAAGAATGCATTAAATTGATCAAAAGTGACAGTGAAGACATTTGTAATTTTACAAAAGCTTTTTTTTTTTTTCTTTCTATTCATCAAAGAATCCTGAAAAAGCACAACCCAGCACAAGTGCTTAATGCAAATCATATAATAATCAATATTATCTGAAGAAAGACTGGAGTAATGATGCTGAAAATTTAGCTTTGCCATCTCAAGAAAAAAATACATTTTAAAATATATTAAAATAGAACTTTAAATTGTTATAGTTCACAATATTACTGTATTTCTTTAAAATAAATGCCACATGAGCAAGGCTTCTTTCAAACTTCCCAAACGTTACTCCACCATATTGTATAAGACTTCAGATTCCACTTGAATTTATAGATTGAAACTGTCAATACCTGGGAAAAATACAATATAGGCTCATTATATTTCAAGTGGGACATTTTGCACTGAGCAGATAAACCCGTGACCAATTATCACTGAGCTGTGAATGAAGGCAGAGCCACTGAAGTGGACACAAGGCTGTCCAAAAGGGCTTTGCCTGAGAACCCATCCTTGATTTAAGCTGGGTACGTGGAGGGATATTTAGGGATTAGAGATACAGGAGAAAATATGTAAGCTAAAATTAAAAATAATTACAGCAGATGTCCATTGATGACTGCAAGTGTTGCCAGTCTGGTGTAGTAATGACTGTCTGTGGTGTTTCAGCACAGCAGAGCAGGGGCAGATTCATCAGATTCATTGCCGTAATTTAAGCTGTCATATGTTCTGATATACAGAATCAAAAGCATTCCTTTAGCCCAAAATGTGAGGACTATTTGAGTGGGTTCATGTGAGTGTATATATGTAAACTGTCTTGGGAACATCACTGCATCAGCTGCACTGGGATGATCGAGTGTCATGGTTTCCCCAATTTCATATCCAATGCCGTAAAGGATTTGTAAACAAAATTCCAGAGGGCACTTTAGCTCTAAAATGACCATGACATAAGCTTGGACTGAATCATGCTAACCTGACACTATAACATGTGAAAAACGACATCAAGTACACCGTCAAATTCAACAACAAAAAAGAAAATACTGTGAGGTTTGTACATCAAGAGAGTTTAAGGTTATGTGACAAATATAAATAGGAGGTAATGTGAGTTCTCTAAGGCATGGCACCCACTCTAGAGAACCAACAGGCTGTTGGCACAGCCTGGCAAAGATTAGGAAGACTGCCAGTAGATGGAGCTCAAGCATGCAGAGTAAATGACTATAACTGTAGAGTATTGTTTACTATACTGTATCCTACAAAATAAAATAAAGCAACACATTCTGTGCTACAATAAATAATGCTACAATAAGAACCAACTTTTTTTTTAATAATCAAGAACTATTGCCAATGATACTTGTGATTAGACTAGAATATTCAAATATATAGCAGGCACAATATTATAGAGAGAGAGATTTAACCATTTTATTTAAAATAAGTGACTGTGTAAAACTAATGCTTTAATAAATTGCTTAAAAAAATAATTATTTTCTCACTTGAGGTACCGACTTGATTGATTATAACAGGAACATTTATCTTTAAACCATGTCATTCGTAATAATAAAATATTATAAATAGTGCTGTCAAATCGATTAATCATGATTAATTACATCTAACATAGTTTTTGTTTACATAATATCTGTGTATATAGGTAACACTTTAATTTGATGGTCCCTTTTGAACATTCTGTTGACTATGAAAAAGTTTGCAAGTGCAATGTTACCAATAATCTACAGAATCATATATATATATATTCATATATACTACAGAATTTTATTTATATATATATATATATATATATATATATATATATGTAAACAAACACTTTTACGTTAGATACTATTAAATCAGAATTAATCGATTTGACACCACTAACTACAATAATAAAATAAAAACTAATAGTAAACTATGACATGGTTAGAAAAATAAAAATATTGCTGTAGTGATTATGTAAATATTAAAAATTTCCTCAAGTGAGAAATCAATCAAATTATTTGTTAAGCAATTTATTAAGTGATAAAAATAATATTGTATTGTTATAGGCTAGCCTATTTAGATTACTTGAATTGTTGAAGCCATTCACTCATAAAAAATAAAAGGAAAAAGAAAAGAAGCAAACAAACAAAATAAATGAAAATATAGAGAATATTTTAGAGAATAGATAATCTAAACGACCTAAATAAGATTTTAACTTTAACATTGATTTTGATATTGGGCAATAATTTGCCTTCCAATTTGTATAGGCTACTTTAATTATGCACATAAAATGTTTTAAAGTGGATCAAAACATCCTAACATCATAAAACATAATTTTAGCCAAATCAAACCCATTGATAATACTCACTGATACGTATTCACTTTCGCCCAAAATCACACCTGCTGTTTGACTTGCTTAGGAACTATGATTTTTTTTTTAAGAGCAAACATTTTTACTTCGCTTTAGAAAAGAAAATGAGAAGCACATCAAATATTTCATAATAATTGATTTCAGTTCAAATAAAGCGCGTGTCACTGCTCGATGCCGTTGCTCACTGGACTGTACCATAAACTGGACTGTACATCAGCATTTCACAATGTGAAACACCCACCCATTCGTAAAGCACGAAATGAACTACCTATTATTGAATTAAATATACACAGTCAGTACAGAATATTCGTGATTTCCAGGAGGATATTAGTCTGGTTACACATCGTGCTCCCCTTTTATAGGGACAGATGGTCTGATCCTCGTAATGTCTCGTAAAGAGCAGCATAGCAACGCCGTCCATCGCTTCCGCATTGACTGCAGTTCTGTCAATGCGGGAGAATGAATAACTCTAAATGTGCCATTACCCACAAACGACGGAGACCACAACGCATCATACAATGTATATACGTGGTGGGATTCATGGTGAGTATCCTCTTTGTATTTGCCGATGGTCAGCTCTTCTGTATGACATTGGTCGCAATGACATCATTTTTAAGTTTCTGTCAATAAGTTTGCATAGATCTGATCATGCCCCTTTTCTACACATCTGATTCATATTATCATACTGACATATTATCAGTAGCTCATGACATGACAAAGATTCCCATGGATTCATTTTTAACACTTAGATAAGAATAATTTGCTAGAACTGTTGAAATATGAGACTGCTGTTTACAAAGGCTCATTGATTTTACAAAAGCAAGATATTCATAATTTAGTCTGTATGAAAACAATATTTTCACATTTGCTCTTTTAAAATCAAGGTTTTACATAATAGATGCTTTGGTAACTTCTATGTTTGCATGTGTATAAATCTTTTGTCCTATCTGTGGATTTTGGTAACACCCCTGAGAAAGAACACATTGTCTCTCCTCTTATTTCACTCTCATTGAGTTCTTCCTGGTTTTAATTCATCCATAGTTTCTCTGTTTAAAAGATTTAGTTTTAGATGTGATATTTGACTTTTATAGAAAGTGCCGTGATACAGATTGAGGTACGGTGTGACTTCAATCAAGTGCTTGGCTTGCCTGACTGCAGAGAACACTCACAAATCTAGATAAACAGGCTCAACGCGAAAGGCTTTTGTTTCAGTATTGCTTTCAGACTATTTAAGCCAACCGACATTGAGATACTGTACAGACAAATGACACACATTATTCATTCATTCATTCAAATCAATCAGTCATTTTTTTTTTTTTTTTTTTTTTTGATGAACTAGGCCTACTTCCAGAAAGCATAGTTCTGTTATTATTTTTTTTTCTTTTTTTAAGTATCCGTTCAGATGTCAGGGAAGATATTTTAATTAACTTGAAAAGTCATTTTGTTTATCGTTGAATGGTCATTTTATCATTATATCATTTGTTTGTTTGTTTTTTAACCTTTTTTTTAAGTCACCTCTGAATCATAACATTTAGTTTTAATTCAGATTTATTATAGTCATCAATGAGAAACCAGGTGGTAAAATTAATTTTAGAAATGTGAAATAGTATTAAAATGTCATAAATTTCCATTTTATGTCATTAAAAAAACAAACAAAAAAAAAAATAAAAAAAAAATGTTTATATATATATATTGAAAAATGTCGGTAAACAAACTATGGTATTTTTTGGGGGGTGAATGTGCAGATGAAAAGTCAATGGGGCCCATAAACTGTTTGGTTTTCCATATTCAAAATATCTTATTTTGTGTTCAGAATTAGAAAATCATACAGAATTGGAACAACTTGAGGTTGAGTAAATAATGACAGAATTTTCATTTTTAGGTGAATTATCTCTTTAAATAGTAGAAATTTGTTTCTTGAGCTGTGTTTGCTTTGCTGACATATGAATCCATTTTATGTGTGTGTTCTTTCAGGATCTCTTTGGGGTCAGTATGATTATCCCTTTGCTGAGTCATCATGTGAAGTCTTTGGGAGCAAGTCCTACAGTAGCTGGGATTGTAGGTAAGTCTCTGGTGTTGTTGTTAAAGCTTATCGCAAAAAAAAAAAAAAAAAGTTGACAGGACCTATTTTCAAGCTGGAATTGATTGGATCTTTGGGTGGTTGTGGTTTGCTATTGCTGTGATGTCATGTGAGTGACGGGTTGATCGCACCAGTAAACACGTCATAAGAGAAGAGAAGTTGCTGTAAGCGGGAGGGGAAGATATTTCGATTAAAGATTATAAGGGCACATGAATTTAAAAAATAATAATGTGCATGCATAAATCATTTATTTTATAAAATGAAATTCTGCAATATATATATATATATTTTTTTACATTTTGATATTATGGTGACTTTAAATTCCATGGTGGCACTGAGTTTCAGTAATAGTAGCATATTTCACTATTACAAACTAGTTTAGAAAATAGTTGCCTATCGTTAGCTAGTATGAAAATTAGTTTAGAGTTTAGCTTATTTTCTGCTGTGATCAAGAGAAAATGCTTACATTTACTTTATTTTGAGTACTAAAACTATCAAAGCTACAACAAAATTAATTTGCATAGATTTAAATAAAAATCTACCAAAAATGGAAGGCATTTAAAATTGTGCGCCCGTGTATGTAAATTTGATTCATTTTCTGGCAAGTTCTATAGTTCATTATTCTAAATGTAAATATATAAGTTCAATTTTGTTTAATTCTGCACATCCTGTTCTCAATAGAGCCAATATAATTTACTTTTCTTACTTTTTCAGTCAACAGATGAATTCATTGCTAGGGGATTGTAATTTTAAGTGCAAAGACAAGCAGGTCTTTGAAATCAGCAGTGCATTGCCTCAGTACATTGCCTGCACCTCGTCTCTGATTAAAAGGGCTGTGTAAATATGGCCCATGTAATGTCAGTGGAAATCACCAGCTCAAAAGATATTTTCACTGATTTCATTAAATCACAAGGTCTCGTTGCCTCAACCGCTTGATTGTGCAACTAAAAATACTCAGTTTTTTTTTTTTTGTGATTAATTTATTTGGTGATGTTTAAAACATGTTGTTTCCCATTGTTGCAGGATCTACATATGGAGTATTACAACTCTTCTCTAGCACTGTTGTGGTAAGTAGTGTGTGTATGTGTATGTGTTTTTTTTTTTTCTTTTAGTAAGCAGCATTTGTTACAGTAATATGATAATTTAATAATTCATGTGTTCATCTGTCTCCATATTAGTTTATAAACATATCACAGTAATTATTTATTACAATCAACATAACACCTCTAACTGCATATTGCACTCATGTCCGGAGTGTGTTACTGTAAAATGAGTCATATTACTTTTGACAAACACACATATTTAAAGTGGTTAAAGCCTGAATGTCACAGGGCTAGTTAAGAAGTGAATGAGATGTTTGTCTTCTCTTGGATGTTAAGCATAGAGATAGCAGACAGGAATAGTGAGCCTCTATGAGGCTCTGTGCGCCTCTAGACCAGAAACAGAGAGAACATAGTAAATCCAATTTAAGTTTTTATTGTATTATGTGTGTGTGTCATACCTCAGTCTAATGACTGCTGGTATGGAGATGCCTGCAGTGCTTGCCTCAGGCAAGCCTGAGCCATTTTATTTGTGAGGTCCGATCCGTCTGCCTGTAGGCTATAATTTGTAGCTTTCTTTGGTGAAATGCTATTCTTTAATAAACAACTAAGATTCTGACTCAAAGGTTCTGCAATGATTTACACACATTTTTTTTAAATTTAATTTTAATTGAAGAGTTTAATTAATGGGGAGTCCCATCTTAAAATTACATATATAGGCTAAATATACACTGGATATGTTCTTTTCTGGGGGTTTTCCTGACCGACAACCTATTAAATTATGTTTAATTAGAATTAAATTAAAATGCATAATTGTCACCCATTAAAAATAACAAATTTTGTCATTCAGGGGTGCGTTTCCCGTACAACGGCATAGTTCAATATTTAACTACCATAGTACGATGCATCGTTTCCCGAAACCCTTTGTCGCAAAGTATCGTTCAACCACGTTGGTATCGCCCGTGGTGGAGTAATAATAACTACTTTTAATGAAACTGTTTGAGATCCAATTAACGCTAGATTTGTTATATAGAAATTACAGACATGTCATCTGAGGACTTTTTCTAATTGTTCTCAGTTATTTTGCTTTATTACCAGACTCAATATTTGGCTCGTTCTTACATAGTAGAGCACGTTCGCACATGCGCACTCTTCAAACACGTTACTTCAAATCTTTTGAAAAACTAAATGACGCAAATTCCATTTGTATGTATTCTAAATAAAAGGCACTGGTTGTACTGAATGTCAGCTTGCTTATTTTGCTCAAGATAAGGATTTATTACCTCCAAATGTCATGCAATTCAAAAACGATGCCTCTAATCGTTACGATGCCTCAGACCCCTTGTGGCTATGCTACTTTCCTGAAATCACTAGGATCTGTTAACTACTAAAAGAATCTGACCATGGGACTCAACATGTCAGTCATTTTAAATCTTTAGGTTGGACATGGAGGGCATGGTTTGGGAAAGATCTATGTTGCTAAGATTAGCTGTTTTTAGGATTAAGGAGGGTTAGCTCTATTTGTTTTTTGGTCTGGACCAAATAATCCAAGCAATCCGAACTACAAGTGTGAAGTGAACACACCCTTAATAAAACCATGCAGAAATTTGATCTTCTTCATCTCTCTTGGTCATCCTTGTGGATTAGTGTTACAGTCTGCATGGAGACTAATTATTGAAAATGACTTATTTTATATACAGGTATCTTTCATTGCATCTTATATTGTTTCGTCGGCAGGGAAGTTGGAGTGATGTGGTTGGGAGGCGCTATTCACTACTGACGTGCCTTTTCATCAGTGCCTTTGGATATGGCCTGCTGGGTATGTCCACTAGTATTGCGCTCTTTGTTCTGGCCAGGATACCAGTGGGTGAGTAATGGAGTACTTTTGTTCATGTAGAAAATTAGGATGTGGATTATTGCTTCAAGTCACACATGTGATTTTCTTTTATGTCGAAAGGGCTTTTTAAACACTCCCTGTCTATCTGCCGAGCGATCCTGTCAGATCTTGTGTCGGAGAAAGAACGGCCTCTAGTGATGGGTCACTTTAATGCAGCCTCAAGTGTGGGATTCATCCTGGGACCAGTGGTGGGTGGATATCTCACTGAACATGAGGGGGGGTTTTACTTATCCTCATTCGTCTGTGCAGCTATTTTCTTTCTAAATGCAGGTGAGCAAGACTGACAGTAGTTATATGATTCCTTAAAAGTACAGACAAGAATTGTCAAGCCAATGTTTTATGAGAGTGCTGTTATTTTGTAATGTATTAGGAATAGTTCAACCAAGGACATCTGTCATTGTTTAATCACATCATTTCAAAACAACATGAATTTCATCCTCTGAACACACAAGGAAAAATGTTGAAGACTGTATGCCATTTAATTGCAATGAATGCAAGCTGAAGCTTTCAAAATTCAAATGAGACTCAAAATGACTTACTGTATAAAGGTGCTTCATATGTACAGTATTTAAACTATATACCAAGTTTAAAGCCATATCATTGATGTTTGAAGTCCAAACCATTTGTATGTATCTTTTTGAAGCTTGAAAGCTTCAGTCCCTATTAATTGTACAGTAATTGCATAGAAAAGAGCAGCATTGGCATTCTGCTAAATGTCATATTCTTAGTTCCACTGAAATAAGAAAGACATGAGTTTGGAATGGCATGAGAATGAGTAAATGATTACAGAATTTTTTATCTATCAATTTTGAATTTCCCTTATTAAAAAGTACACTTAAGTATACTTAAAAAAAAAAAAACTAATGGAACTAATATACTTTTAAAAAAATCATACTAAAATACTCAAATGTATTTAAAATACATTTACTTATTGCTAATTATACTACAAGAAGTATATTTATATCAGTAAGTCTCAAGCGATATGTCAGTAAATATGTTAATGGATTTTTGGTATACATTGTATGAAATTAATGGATTTTAAATACATTTTGGTATAGGTTTTTTTTCACTTTTAACACCAAAAATTAAATAATCCCATAATTCACTCACCCTCAAGCGATCCTAGGAGTAGATGACCTTGATGACCAAACACAATCGGAGTTTTAAAAAATATTATGGCTCTTCCAAGCTTTATAATGGGAGTGAATAGTAACTGAGATTTTGAAGCCCGAAAAAGCATCAATCCATCCATCCATCATAAAAGTAATCCATTTGGTTCCAGGGAGTTAATAAAGGCCTTCTGAAGAGAAGTGATGTGTTTTTGTAAGAAAAAAAATGTCCATAATTATAACTTTATAAACTGCCCCCTGCCCTCTGGAGCTGTATGGATTTCTTTTATGATGGATGGATGGATGCACTTTTTTGGGCCTCAAAATTTCAGTTTCTATTCACTCCCATTCACTCCAAAGCTTGGAAGATCCAGGACATTTTTAATACAACTCTGTGTTTGGCTGAAAGAAGAAAGTCTTATACACCTAGGATGGCTTGGATAATTTTCAGTTTTGGTTGAATTAACCCTATAAATGTGAATGGAAAGTAATGTTTTCTGAAACTTAATTTCATGTAAATTGTAATTAAATTCAAATATGTTATAGTTTGAAACTTTGAATTTATATTAAATGCAGTTGGCTGAACTGTAGAGTGCTTTTTTTGTATATTCTTTGAAATATGGTTAAGTGTACTACCGAAAGCACTGACAAGCATTTATGATCAACTAAAATACTTTATTGTCCTTTCTATCAAACAATCATTTCTATTGAACAAATTGAATACAATTTAGCACATTTCTTTTTCACAAGTGATCCCTTCAGATGTCTGCTACAAAGCAAGATCAACTACAATTTACTTATCCAGATATTGTCTTCCCAGGTTTGGTCTGGATGTTACCGTGGAGCGAGACAATAAACCACCGTATCGATGCAAATGCTAATAGTAAAACCAAAACCAGCAAAACCTATGATGGGTTAAAGAACTCAGTCCAGCAGAACTGCTCAGACAAAAACTACATTCGGCATCCTAATGCACCAGCAGTCCATAGTCGAGCAAATGGAGGATGGGGTTGGCGGGACATCTTCCAGTCTGCCTGGAGACAGCTAACCTCAGTGTGGATGCGGATCTGCATGGTGGCGTCCTCGGATTTGTTGGACGTGTTCCTGGTGCGGCTTCTAATGGCTGTATCTATAATGCTGTACTATAGTAACTTCTCCTTAGCCATGGAGGAGCGTTTTCAGCTCAAACCAAAGATGACAGGATATTTGATCAGCTACAGCAGTATGTTGGGAGCCCTTGCTGGCTGCTTGGTGGGACCCGTAACAAACCTCTATGACAACAACATGTCTGCTTTATTGTTGCACTCTACAGCGCTCACCTGCACGTTGATCTTCCTGTATGCCACGGCACCCAATGTCTGGCAGGTCCTGCTGACCTCCACGTTCTTTGCAATCTCTACCACTATCGGCCGCACTTGCATCACCGACTTGGAGCTGCAGCGTGGGGGAGCCCAAGCTAGTGGGACTTTAATCGGAGCGGGACAGTCAGTCACAGCTGTGGGACGGGTCCTCGCACCACTGCTGTCTGGTCTGGCTCAAGAATTCAGCCCCTGTGGACCACCTAGTTTGGGGGTTGTGCTGGGTCTGCTAGCTGTGGGCTTGCTACTCGTGAGGACTCCTAAGTGGGAAAGTAAGACAAAGGTTAAAGACAAGAGTCCCAAACAATGACGTGTAAACCACTTAAAGCGAAGGAAAGATAAAGGACTGTGATGGCAGCTGTCTTTTTTCCTCTCAGGTAATGTGATTGTGGGAGTTCTGATCTGTATCCCACCCATAGAATATCAGGACGTCAATGTGAGAGACGGCCGTCAGTAAGGCTGCCTCCTGTGCAGCCATGCTGAAAGAGAGCAACTGCCTGTACAAATGCAGACAGAGTCTGATGCAATGTCTAAAAAGATGAATGTTTATAACAGAACATTTTGCTGGTAAACAGTCCAACAACAATGGTCAAATAATGGCGTGATGGTACACGTTACGTGCTTCAGACATTTGTCACAATGAAGGTGTTCCCATTCCCATAGCGACAGCTATCACAGCATTGGTGTGAACCTATATGGGGAACCAATGATATTCTGTTTCAAAACATCAGAAGTGGGACATTCATCATTGAAAAACCGTTATCTGTGTTCCCTGGCAGAATTTAACAGTAAAAGTCAGATAAACAAATGAAAGGTAAGGCTTGTATGCTACCCAAAAAAAAAAAAAAAAAAAAAATCAATTTAGCATTTTAGGAGGGATAAACTTTACTACATGATTGAGTTTTATGGAAGTAAATAATGCCAAATGTTTTTACAAACAAATTAGCCTGTTGAATTGCACTACTTGAAAACTTGCATTAACCATGCTTGTATTTTCATGATCTGAAATTCAGCATGGTTGAATATTTAAGCGGTGAATAATGTTTTTCAAATTTATTTAAAACACATTTTCATTATTAGAAATTCAATAATCCATATTCACCTTTCATTTTTCACTTCCAAAATATTTCAAACTGTTTAAAAAATATTTTTCGGGCCATTTTATTTCGCTTTGCAAATTCGCTTCCACAAATTCAGTGGTTCAAATTCGACAAATTTGACAAAATTGAGGAAAATCAGTAGATTACTGAGCATAATCCCTATAGCCTACTCGAACATTCAATGGCAATAAAACATATTATACACAAATGCACTTAAATAGCTGTAAAAGAGTTTTTTTGAATGAATGGCTTGCTCTGGTCTTTGTCAACATCACACTTTTTCACCCCCTGCTGGTGAGACTGACTAACAGCAGTTGGTGATTATGCTCGGTAATCTACTGCTTTTCCTGCAGTTCCTGGATGTCAAGTTGAATTAATTGTTGAATTTGAACCACTGAATTTGTGGAAGTGAATTTGCAAAGCGAAATAAAATGGACCGAAAATTGCCTGTTGAATTTTTAATAGGTTGTATTTTTAAACAGTTTGAATATTTTGGAAGTGAAAAATGAAAGGTGAAGATGGATTATTTATTTTTTTAATAATGAAAATGTTTTAAATGTATTGAATTGAAGTATTCACAGCTTAAATATTCAACCATGCTGAATTTTAGCTCATGAAAATGCATTTTTTTAATGCATTTTTTTATGCAAGTAGTGCAATTCAACAAGCTAATTTGTTTGTAAAAACATTTGCCATTATTTCACTTCCATAGAGTTTTACCTCACTGTGGCATACTTGTTTAACCACTATTTATCATTGGTGCACTTCAGAATATGCACTTCCTTCTGTAGTTCTCCAAAGGCTAGCAATAATGTTTTCCATAAAACTATACAAAAAACTAAACACTAGATCACACACACACACACACACACACACACACACACACACACTACTGTTCAAAAGTTTGGCGTCAATAAAAGTTTTTTGTTTGTTGTTTAATAATATTTTTCAGAAAGGATGCACTATATTTATCTAAAGTGACAGTGAATATATTTACAAAAAAAAAATCATAAATGCAATATTAAAATAAAAAAGTTATTTTAAATATCTTGTATTGATATTTCACACTATTACTGTTTTTACTGGATGCTTGATCAAATAAATGCTACCATTGTGAGCATGAGACTTCTTTCTCAAAAGAAAAAAAAAAAGTGTCATCCCCAAACTTTAGAATGGTAGTGCATGTGTGTTAATCACTGTTTTGTTTTGATTTTTATCATCTGAATTTATGTTTTACAATTACTTATTACAATAATTTTATGTCAGGAATTGTGTTCACACCTGAGCATAACACAATACACAAAGTTCCACTTTCATGGATCAATAAATTGTTTTATTACACATATTTATATTTATCTGTGCCTAAAAATGTAATTAACTTAAATCTCATTGAATAGCAATATTTAAGTTCTGAAAGCTAACGTTCAATTCAGTGAATTACAAAAAAATAATTATAAAAAAAACTTGTAAATGAAAATGACAATGCACTCAACAAATACACTGGTTTTAAGACCTAAAACTCACAATTATCTCACAATTATGATGGCTTTAGTGTTGTAGAAAGCTTTTATGTAAATTGTCACATAGGAATATATTATGATTGTGTTTAACATGGAGTAAATTCTTCCCTTTCTCTCTAGTGTAAGTGTTTTAGTTTGCTTCAAAGTTGTGTGATCTCATCCACAGATAATAGCAGTCCAGCTGCATTAACAGATCAGTGTACATCATTCTGTGGTTCCTGTACCAATGTGTGGGGAGACGGCCATGACTGCTGCTCTCCACCCTCACAGTCTTTGTCACTATAGTTTCTAGATGAGCCATAAGGCAGATTTGAGGTCTGATACCCTGAATGGCTGATGTTTGACCTTAGATGTGACATTCTCTAGCCCCTCTTCTCCTCATTTTGTTCATCCAACATGAGGAAGCTAGATGCATCACTGCTTTAGATGACAATCTCTGTGGACGCTTGAACATAAGCCTGGTTGACGGATAGTCAATCTCGGTTTCTGTATCACCATATCCTAGAAAGATAATGTAGATTACCATCTACTGTATATTACTGTCGATATACAGATGCTTAAAATAGAATCATTACCTGGGTTCTCTCTAGACAACATGACATCATTTTGCGTAAACATATACGCCACTTTCGAGTCAGGTGGCGTGTTCTCTACGCATTTTGAGCTATCCCCGTATGGAATGCCAAAGCTGACTAAATTAAAAAATAAATAAATATACGAAGAAATGTAAAAAAGCAAAAATACATAAATAAATATACAAAGAAATGTAAAAAAGTGCATATGAATGAGTATTTATACTTTTATTTCCATATTTATGTATAATTGTATTTTCCACACATTTATTTATTTATACATTTATTCATTTATTTAGTTCAACTTTTATTTATTTCAGTATTTATGTTTTTATGTCTACATTTCTTTATTTTCACATTTATTTATTTCTATATTTATTTATTTCCACATTTCATCATTTCCACATTTATTTATTATACATGCTGAGACACTAGTTCACGCTTTCACCACTTCACGGCTTAAGCTGTAATTCTTTTTTCTAAGATTTACCCAATAGATTAATAAATAAGATCCAACTCTGGGTCAGACTCCGACTCCTCACAAAGAAATCTTCCCACATTACCCATCCTACACAGACTTCATTGGCTACCCGTTCACTTTCGTATTCAATACACTCCTTCCTTATCACATTCAAAGCACTCCATGTTTTTTAAAGACCAAGTAGAAGTTGCTGACAAGGTGAAACCTCCATATTTGGTAGGCCCACTGGAAAGCCCTGAATGAGCTCTTCACAGGACATCCAGACTTAAAACTGTGACATGTATGTTACAGAGAAAATTGAGAAATTCACTAAAATGTAATGTCCACTACTACAGTGGACAAAAGTCTATTCCTGGGTCCAAGGAGGATACCATCCAGCTGCAGTTAATCTTCTACCGCTAGATGGGTGTCAAGGTCTTCAGATAACGCGCTCGTTTAGGTCTGTACGTTATCCTTCGAAAACATTTCCATGAGGCGTTCTTTAAATACATGTGGCCGAAAAAACAAACAAACAATTAATTATACACCATTTCCACATCTTATAAAGCAATCTTTTGGCTCAATGTATTTGTGATGTGAACGAGGCGGGGTTTTAGGGCATCTCTGACGTAATGCGCGGTGACGTAAAGGCAGGGCGAGTCCACAATGCAGAGCAAGTGAACGAATTGCGGAGATCGCCGTGTATCAAAACACTGATCTGCATAGGCTAGTTACTTTAAAATCATGGAGCATATCGGTGACTGAAACGTAAGTGATCACTTCTGCTTACTTAAAGCTGATATGCTTGCAGTCCGTGTGTAGTAACGTTAGTGGTTAAACCAAACGCTTGGAAGGAAGAAATAAAGAAAAGGAAATCAATTGTCTTTTGATATGCACATAGTCCGACTCCGTAATATGGCAGAAATTGGGCGAGAGTGATATTAGCAGCTCGTGTGGTGTATTGTGAAGTGTTTTAGAAAGCGTATTATAGGCATATGACGAGAACGCAATCGTTCATTCAGTCATCACTCTTCATAATTATTTCGTCACGAGAGCTGTTCAAATGTCTAGATGTTGTCAGCTTTTGCTGCTGCTGCAGAAGCTTTACGTTGTTTCAATGTGCTCTAATGTTCCTGCAGGTAAAATAATCAGATCATACACTGTCTGTTGACATTACGTTAGCTACAAGATGCCTTGAACACATTATGGATGGAAACCTAGACCCAATTATTACCATAAAATTCCGGAATTTTCTTGACGTTCGGTTTTCGACTTCTGTCAGTGCAGACGGAACAATGTACTAAAATACTCGGAAAACGTTCTCTATGCAGCGGTGGCACAACATCATTATTAAAAACTACAACACGACACATACATGCAGCGTACGTACATTCCCGTTACTGAATAATGACTCGATTGAGCCGGTTCTCTGTAGTGAATCAAAACAAACAGTGCGACGAGTGTTGTACGGTTCTTAAATGAATCATTCATTTGAGTCGGTTCTCCTTAGTCAATCAAAACAAATAGCGTTACAAGTGTTGTACGATTCCCTTTTATAAAAATGAATTAATGAAATATGTTGCCTCTGTTCCTAAATTTGAAATTATTTTGTTTTAGTATTTGAATTTTATATGCTTACATTTATGCCATGCCAGCTGTGAAATATCTGAGAAAAGATTCGGTGTAGGCTACACACTTTTTGCAAGAATTGTATTAGCCTACATTTATTTCTGATTTATAATAGGCTATGACATCTAAAATGATCTTATCACTTAGCCCTTGATCCCTAGAAAACACAAGGTTTACGCAGAGAGCCAGACTCCAGTTACAGATCACATAACTGGTTGCAGAATCTTTGATTGCTCTGATGACTTGATGTCAACCCTATGTCGCAATCAGAAAAGAATGAAAATAAAAAGATGTATGATGATAGATGTTTAATTTTAAAGTCTGTATCGTTATTTTTTTTCATTGTAAATACAAGGGCCTTGGGGCCTTCTCCTTCTTCCTCAAAACTTTTTTTTCTAGGTGTTCCTTAAATATAGGATTGTCTTTTTCAGTTGTGACCTTCTCTTGTTGTGTATAAAGGTTCACTGTTCTTTAATATTCTCAGTACCTGGATTAATGGCACTATTGATTGGTGGATATGCCAAAGACTCACATGCTGTTTATGCAACAGTTCACAAAGCCTTCCAGTGAGAGATCTGGGTTACCAATGCAAAGATTAGTTTCTCATTCCTATACTTAGTGTATTCACTAGTTATTTCATCATTTATTTATTTATTTTGCTGTGTGAAAATGATGTAAATTTATGAGTGATCCGGGAAAAAAAACTGTTAATGAAAAGCCTGGCATTTGGCTTGATAAATGATAAGGCTAATAGTTAATTTCCCCATTTCTTAAAAAAAAAAAAAAAGAAAAGAAAAGAAAAGAAAAAAAATCTAATATGTGCTCACTGACCTTTCCAGAGACAAATAATGTTGTCTAGGTTTATAAATATTATTTTTTTATAAATTATTATTTTTTTCTCTCTCTCTCTGTCTGACCAATGTCACAATGGTCCATGAACCTATAGTTATAGATTGGCAAGACAATTTCTGCCGAATGACAGGTGTTTTACTATTCTTCTGCCAATTCATGCATGAAACACAAATACAGAACACATGTTACTGTATGTCTCCTGTCTGCCCTTCTGCACTTGTTATGGTTTATTCACACCATTCAGCTGTGTGCCAAGAGACAGACAGTGACAGATTGGCTGCTCATTTTTAAGAGAAGCAGATTATTCCTCAGCCAGATGAAATGATGTAAAGTCTAGAGATGAAAGTAGAGCATGGATAATCATGTTTTCACCCAGACGATGACTCATCACTTAAAGGAAATGGCTGTTCATTATGATTGGGCAATGATGTCAAACATGGCGCAGAAGGTTGGGGCTCAAATTTCAGATTTAAATTTAAGTCTGTTCAATATATTCAGAGTTCAGAAGACATATGCATGAGAAATATGGACTCCAAATCTGATTCAAACCACATTATGGAGGTTTGAAATGTGATTCCAATCAGATCTTTACAGATGCGCCTCAGTCTGGACGCTCTGGCTGCTCAAATTGGATTTCAAACTGCGTCACTCTTAATGATGTTTTATTAACAAAGTTCATTCAAGAAGAAAATCTTGAATGAATGATATCTGCAATACATTTATATTGGTTCTGTTATTGCTGCTCTCCTGCAAACTGTATGCTAATTGTCAATAGTATTTAACGATAATGGTCTTGACAGAACTGTTTTTGTATGGCATAGAGCTGTGTAAAGATTCTTCAAAATATCTATATTTTTTCGTGCCCCATGTAAATAACAAAAGCATATAGGTTTGAATTGGCGATTGATTGAGATATTAACAGAATTTTAAATTTGGATGAAATATTTACATTAACGATGCCATGTTTGATCATAAAAAGACTTTGTTCTTCTGTATGGTAGTTTAGAGAATAGAGATGCACCATTTCATTAAGAAAAGCATCCATTCTTTTTCTCTGCAAAACAAAAATGGGTAGAAGGCAAAACTTCCAAGTTAAGACTTTTAAATGATTTTAAAAGAAGTCTTGTATGATCTCTGCATTTATTTGATCAAACATACAGTAAATGTTGTGAAATATTATTACAATTTAAAATAATTATCTCTATAATAGCTTATTTTGAAATGTAATTTATACCCGTGATGACAAAGCTAAATTTTCCAGTCTCCAGTGTCACATGATCCTTCAGAAATCATTCTAATATGCTGATTTGCCGCTCAAGAAACGTTTCAAATTGTTATGAGTGTTGAAAACAGTTTCATGCACCTGTGCTGAATAATAATAATAATAAAAATTCAAACAAACAAAAAAACTTTTGAACAGTAATGTACTCATGAATTAGTTTATACACAGACACATGCACATAAATTGATGTTTATGCAGAAACATTCTCACGAATGAATTAATTTCATCTATAAGAAGAACTGTGCATACATAGAATCAAGGCTAAGTTCTTGGCTTATTTTTATAATTAATGTTTTCTTTACTTTTGTGGCATGGTTTCACATTACATTGATATGCCAATGATACATCAATATTTGTATAGTCTTTTTTTTATATTTGTAAAGAATTTTCTTTTTGTATAGATGACTTTTTGCATAGTAAAAGGTTAATCTCACTCTAATCTGTGTTTAGACTCGAAAGTTCTACAAAGCCTCCACCGTCTCCTCTAGTATTGCCTGCTCTGTTCCTCTTTTACTTTCAGACATGCTGGAACTATTTTCCATACAATAATTACATCCCACCTACATTAGATCTCTTTTCATTGTTTTTTTTTTTTTTTTTTTTTGAAATTTTAGATTTCAAGAAGGTGCTCATGAGTGCTATGTTTGCGGCCACTTTGCACCACGTTGTTTCCCGCACTGGATGAAACCTCTGCATTATGACCCTAGAAACAGCACTGCAACAGAGGTATTGATTATTAGACCTAATATGCAGGTCTGTTGCATGTATACATCTCTGCTGAGGTAACAGTTTAACCGAAATGCTCTGCTTATTGAGAGTCCCAGAAAGCTCAGCTGAAAAGAAAGTCACTCACACTTCCTGATTAAGCAAAAGATCAGGATGTGGTTGTGAGAGGAGGTGGACTGTGTGACGGACTGAGAACTGACAGTTTAGCACGAGACGGCAAGAGCATGCGTGTGATGGTCTGTAATGTATGCTTATAGACATAGTTGTGTTTGGTCCATCACCCATTGTTTACCACAAGCAATGTGCCACCAGAAATAAATTGCACTCCCTTTATTATTATCTACATTCAGAGTGTCCATGACATTGAGCTTTCAGTTGATAGACACCTGTTTATATTTCTGATGCTGCTCAGCTAGTCGTGCCACTTTATTTTCTCTTATGCTCACCAAGGCTGCATTTATTTAATTAAAAAAAAAAAAAGAATAATAATAATAATCAAAAGCATCACTGGTCTTGTCCAGTGTAGACAGAGTGTTAATGTGGAAATACTTTCACAATCCCCCCCTTTTTTTTTCTGTACCACTCTCTTTCATAGAGCTCAATATATGGCTGACCTGTGCTCTAGTTCCCTTAAAGTGGGCTTCTCAGTGACTTCTCTCACAAGTCATCTCCATTTTTACACAAAGAGCTTAGAGAAATGACTTCTTTGAAGCAGTGTTGGTTGTAACTTCCACTTCCTGATAATTGAACCAACAGTGCTCACTGGGGCATCCAAACACTTTTTATGCTCAGTCAGATCTGATGTAAACGTTTTCTTTAACAAACGCCAAGCCAGTGATTTACTCATCATCATACGAATAAATCATAAATGGTCTGTATTTGTTGAATTTAAAAACGGTATGGACATACTTTATAGCATATACCAAGTTGTGTGACAGAAATATTTTATGTAATGGGTATTTTCAACAATAAAGGGTAGTTCTGTCAGTAATTACTCGTCCTCATGTTGTTCCAACCTCGTTAGACTTTCGTTCATCTTCATAACACAAATTAAGGTATGTTTAAAGAAATCTGAGAGCTGGCTCACTCCTTCATAGACTGCAAGGTAATTGCTTCTTCCGGCCCAGAAAAGTTAGTAAAGACATCCAAAACCATGAATAAACCATGACATCCATGAATAAAACAGAAAGCATGAGAAGAGCCATCCCTAACTATCGGCTGTCAATTTCTAAATCACAATCTGAATTTAGCATGCAAAACTCCCGTTATAATAAAAATATATATTGTACAATCAATGTATTTACATCATGGTTACAATGAAAGAATTGGCAAGCGGCTCATGTGGAACAAATCAAAACAAAACCTTGTGCGATTTCAGTGGTGCTAAGCCGATTCAGACTAACTTACTGATTAGCAACTTTGATTGGCCATTGCATTGCGCTCTAGTGCTCAACAGATTTGATTGTGATTGGATTCAATGCTCAACGCTTGTAAAAAAACGTGCTATGAAATAGAAACTTTGATGCTCAGCGAGAGCTCTAAAACACGACGAGAACATTTAAAAACAGCGTCTACCAGTGGGTACCGAACATACTCAGTCGGTTCTACCAGTACTTTTTTCTTTTGGACTAACATGTACTGGTAGTACCAGTACGTTTGACAACCCTAATAAGGATTATTTAATAAGAATGTCTTTTACTTTTGATTCATTTTGATTATTCCTTATAAAAGAACTGTATTAATTTCCTAAAAAAAATCTTACTGACCTCAAACATTTGAAAGGTAGTGTGCAATTGAAAGAATAACCTCATTATGATTTAAACATCAATCTTTTTGAAAATCATCGTCACCCAGTTCCGTTCTTCACTCCATAAACTTTTAATATTGTAAGTGGTGTGTCTCTGTTAAATGTGTTTGTTGTGCTGTGAGAGATTTGGATGAGTGACTAAAAAAAAACGCCTCAGGGAGAGAGACATTTAATAAGCCTCAACAAACTTCAACACATTCACTGTCATCTGTTTTTCCATGTATTTCTATATTATCATTATTCATTTGGCCTAACTACTTTTTAGACATAACCTAAACATGCATAAAGTCTGAATGAGGCTTGAGATGAGAGTGCTGAGATTGGTGGTTACTATGCATGAAATGTCAATGCTAATATGAGTGTCTGATATAATTATCAATCCTTCTGCCACAGTTTATGGAGGCGGGAGATGACTATATTCTTGATTGCTGTTAACACATTATGATAAAAGTGTTGTTCATTGTGATTAGTTTCTAGGCTGTGTAGTGGACATAACAAGCAGATGGATGGCTGGTGGGTTGTTGATTGTGCATGAATCAGCCGTCCACCGTTTCAGCCCCAGACTGCTGCCATACTACCTGCTGTTTTGCCTACGCCACAGCCCAAAACCCTCCATCCGCACTCATGTAGAGTATTTGCATCCTCATCTATTTTCTTTCCCCCCACCTCTGTCGGGATTCAATTGGTTTGTTCAGTCCCAGCATACTGTAAAAGTTTGCTGCATTCTGAGAACTGGCCCCCCGACAGCCTGGGTTCTCCCAAGGTTTTTTCTCCATTCTGCCACCTGATAGAGTTTTGGTTCCTTGCCACTGTCGCCTTTTTCCACCTTTGTTTGCCATTGGCTTTGGCCTGCATTGAATTTGTTGGCATTGGATCTGCCTGCATTGACAATACTATAAAAATGAAACATCACTGAACTTGACTGATGCTATTTTCTTTGTGAAACAAACTTGTTTGCATTATGTTCCCGTTATCTCGCTGCTGTGAGACAATCTGTTTTGTAAAGCGCTATACAAGTAAATGTGACTTGACTACAGCTATTTTTGGCAAACTGATTTTGTATGCGTGTTGTTAACACTTAGTTGATTTGCATAATTGCTTTAGTGAACTGGATTCTAAATCAGCGCATAGAGCAAATGAATCACTATACCCACTGTGCCCGGTTCATTCTTAGTGAATGCTGAAAGATTTGCAATCTTATTTTCAGGTTTTGGTGATAGATATAATCTTTCACTATGTCTCATATTCTTTATCTAGGGCAAAGTCACCACCTCCGATTAATTTTATGACGGGATACATTATATAGTAACAGTCATATCAGCATCAGCTGAAAACATATAAATCAGGGGTCTCAGACTCAACTTAACTGGTGGCCGATGGAGGTAGAGTCTGGGTCAGGTTGGGCCGCATCAAGTATTCCACTAAAAACAAGTATTCCAAAAAAGGAGCACAACTGATCCAATCTTCTCAATCTTTATTATTAACGTTTCACTAACTGTTAAACGTTCAATAACTGTTCCTCTGAATTTGAACATTCCTTTCTGTACATGATTGGTACTTCATGAGCTGTCCTTCTGAGAGTTGAAGTTCATTTTACAAACTTTCTTTGTTTTTTCCTTATACACAACATCTTTGTGACACTTATATTTGCTCATGTCCTTTTTATTTCCTTTATACAACACTAATATTATATTGAATGATTTTTGTTTTGTTTTTCGGAAGGCACATTTCCTTTTATTTTACTTAGAAAAACAACTATTGCTTTTGAAATACAAATATTTGCAGCAATGTCTTCCCGTCTTATTGAATTCTTTCTACCCATGTTAGTGTCTCAAACAAATTATTGACTTTACACATATCAAAGTAAACCTTCCTATCAACCTGTTGGACCAAGATAATTATAGATACATGAGCCAGTTCAAAGTTCAGTTCACAAATTTTAAAATTAACTTATAGTTCATACTTCAAAAAATGAACTAGTTCATAATTATTTTTTTCCCCATGTTGCTGCGAGGTTCTTCTTTTTTTATTACTAGGCTTATTATTATTACCACAACAAGGCCTGTTTACGGTGTGTTTTAGCTGGGTTTTGCCTGGAATGTTCTATATCTGGCACCCTACGCAGTACGCAGTAACATTAAACTTTAATGTCAAGTAGGGGGCCACAAAATATCATCCCTCGGGCCATTTCGCGAGTTTGAGACCTCTGATATAAAATGTAATGCAGGTTAAAAAGATATACATTACTTATATATTGTTAAACACTAATAAAATGACATTCAGAGCTTAAGTAAGATATTTTATTTTATTTATATTCTATATCGGTGACACACATGAGTTCTGTTTCTTTAGTCTGTTATATTTGTGATAGGCCTAGTTATGGCCATTTTACTCTTAGAAATGAAGGCTGGTGTTTTTGAACAAAATCTATTATGCTCACCAAGACTGCATTTATATAATAAAATATTGTTTATTTTAATATATTTTCAAATGTAATTTATTTCTGTGATGGCATAACCAATTTCTCAACAGCCATTCAGTGTCCCACAATCATTATGCTTATTTAATGCTCAACATTTCTTATTATAAACAATGCTGAAAGTATTTTTGTGGAAACCATGATCCATTCAAATTTTTGGAGTTAGTAAATTAATAATTTTATTCAGCATTGATCAAAAGTGGTAGTAAAGACATTTATAATGTTACATTTTTTAAATTGAAAATATATGCTGTATTTTTTAACTTTTTTTAAAAAAATATGAAAATTGTATCATGATTCCCGCAAAAATATCAAGCATAAAAATGTTTAACATTGATAATAAGAACCATTAATAATTTTTAAGTCCTTATTAAAATGATAATAATTGAGTGCCAAATCAGAATCTGAATTTGCTTATCAGAATTATAATTCATAGGCCTACATTTGTAAAATGGTTGTGAAATAAGGATGATTTTATTCTGCGGTATGTGATGTTTGGTGTCATTTGAAGCATGTATGATCCTCATTAAGCTGTATCTATATAAAGTGATTACCTGAAGATAACAGCATCCTGTTTGTAAAACATTTCCTTTTAGTCATGAATTATCCAGTCATAAACTTAAAATAGTTCTCTGGAAGGCACTGACTCTCTCTGATTGCAGGTCTATCATTGTGTTCAATTATAAATGCTCTCCTATGAAACTGCATAAATAATACAGACATACATAATGTCTTGAGATTAAGGACAAGTCTCATTCTTTAGTTGTTTCAGGGTTCAATGGCTCTTTGGTCTCCAGACAGTTGGTGACGCAAATATTGACTCATCCTTTTTGTCCCCTTTTCTCTTTTACTTTTAGATTCAAACCTTTTAGACTGAAGCAGAGCCTGGATTACTGGAAAGTACTGTACCTGCAACATAAACTGGTTGTGTAAAGTGTAATCCTATTGGTCACTGAAGCTGGTCGGCAAGATGGCGGGAAGAGAGCGCAGTCCACGCCACAGGCCATGGTCTGTGTACCGAGCCAACACCTTTGACTTGTCATCTGAGATGATGGGTTTAGCGCTAACAGGTGAGCATCTATAAGCTATTTGGCACTTAACATTTTGAGGTTTTGGACATTTAACTTTTGCCTGTTCAGCAAGTTTATACCATAGTGATCTAAAGATATGTCAGTAACACACATAATCATACGTTTTCCACTAAGAAAAGTAGATACACTAACACTACAAAAGGACAGTTAGGATTTTTTAAATGTCGGATTTAAGCTAAATGCAAGCATTATATTTCTGCTTTTAAAATCTCTGCTTTTTTGTTTTACAAACTGAGAGATGAGATATGCGTAATGTGGTGCTAAGAAATACTCGCGATGAGGCATAACTCAATTAAAGAAAGATTTTAATTATCAAATACTTAGGAAGCAGGAAAAACGCTGGAGAAAACCACATAACACCAAACATTAACAAGAACCGACAGAGACTGAGGGAGAACACGGCATATATATATATATGGCAAAAAAATTATCTTAACAAAACAATTTCAAGACACACAGCTGAACCAAATAAACTAAGGAAGTCGGTAACCATTGAAACAAAGGAGTGGCGCAAAACTGAACAAATGCAAACATAAAGCCCAAACACAAACTGGAATGTTATGTAACAACATGATCTTCTGGGGTAATTGGCATGCCACAAAAGCTCTAAAGACATTAAAGAGACAGTCCACCCAAAAATTAAAATTCTTTCATTTACTGACCTTTAAGTTTTTCCAAACCTGAATGACGTTTTCTATTCTATACGTATTTTTTTGATAAAATAAATAATTTGCAAACAAACTTATAAAAAGACTATGGAAATTCTGTGTTATGTTCCACATGTGTTTAGGAAACAGTCAGGATCCTGATGAGCCAGTGCTTGAGTTCAGTCTGGGTGAGTAACAGCAGTTCAGTCAATTATAAAATGATTACGGTGCAGCGTTATCCAACTAAGTGAAGTACTTTTCAGTAATACAAGCCGTCAAAGCAGATATCCACTCATTTAGGAGATGTGTGTACACCTGCATCCAGTGAAGAGACACCCCCTTTATTCTTCCTCCTTTTTTGGCTTCCTACCCTAATATCCATCATACTATATTTGTGTAGGAAATAAACTGTTTATCAGTCCTGCCCTCTTAGTTCACATGTAATAAACATTCATGCAGCTTATCTGCGGGCTGTTAAATCAAATATTTCCATTGTTTTAGCAGCACTGGGTTTCGTCTGATTTTAGCTGTACTCTCTGACAGTTATATTACTTTTTCCATGATGAAACATCATGTAGATTACAATTAGCCACCTAGGGTTATTTGATATTTTTCTGTATTTCACTCTTCATCGCAAGACTCGTTTCAGATCGTTGCTTACACAGTCTGGATTGTTATGCTACTGTGTGTACAATCACAAGTAAATCACTTCACTTCTTTCACGATTATCTGACTGAATTGTTGTTCTTTTCCCAGCATGCAGTGAGCTAATCACTCCATCACTGGACCGTAAGCCCAGTAGCTTTGTAGCAGTGAGTTGCACCACCCCTCCACAGGCATTTTGGACCAAACATGCACAGACTGAAATTATAGAGGTGAGGATGGATTCATGGAGACGTGCTAGGAAAAACTACCATTTTATACCTTGTTTTTGTTCTTTGGATTTCATTTCAAACAATATGACATAGTATAGCCATCTGATCGATTTACATGCTAGTCAGATGGCTTATTTCCATCCAAGTGAGTGGTTTTCAACTAGAATATGCTGAAATACATTTTTAAATGCAATCTTTTTGTCTAAAGGTTAAAAAAGTGTTTTCTGACTATAATTTCTTATGTCAGGCTTCACAGGGTTAAAATAATCTAATGGTTATGGTTATGCTTTATTTTAAGGTGTCCTTCTTACAGTGCAATTATACATTGAAGAACTAAGTAATAATAGCTAACTGATGTACATGTTGTTACTTTAGGGTTAGGGTTTGGTTTGTTTAGTTGTGTAATTATGCATCATTTATGTAACTGCATAAACGTAACATGGAGACTGTAAAATAAAGTGATACAAATATATTTTGCGAACAAACTGAAAGATTTTGTATTTTCAGTCATCTTTAGTCAAATGCATTTACATTGTGACTGTGCCTCAGAATGCAATCTACAGTAAAATCTGTGTCTGTAAAGGTGTGAACCAAATGGCTCAAAGAAACGATAGGTGTGAATGACAAGGAAACGGCGTTACTCAGAGAAGATTGCAGGGTAGATCAATCTCATGTGGCAGTTTTGCACTATTGTTTGTAGCCCTTTTGTATCCACAAGTTTCCTACGCCCCATGAGGCCTTCCGGTTGGAAGTAAACAAAGCGCGATTTGACATGCTTGACACGCATTCATTCAACAGTTGACAGTCATTCAAGTTATAGCGATCCAAACTAGCTAACGATGTGGGAACACAACCTCAACGAAATTCAAAAGGGTGAAATAACAGTACCTTTACCCTCCGCAGTAGTTGATTGGGAGTATTATAATAACATTATTAATAATCAATACTCATCAAGGCATGGTGACAGACAGTTGTGCGAGCTGACAAACAATTACAATAAAAAATACACACTTAGTCATTGTGCTTTGGAGTTTATTCAAAAGTATAAATGAATGTGCTACTTGAATACATTAACTGGCACATTTGGTATTCTGTCAACACAGGCTTTGATCCGGAGTTTAGGTGTAACATCAGTAGCGAACAGCCAATGACATGCTGATAGAGTTTATAGAATATTAAGAATTTAAACAAATGTACACAGGAAGATTCGTCGTCTTTTGGGAGGTGATGGAAACTACAGTCGTTGGCAGGATCAGAGACGGGCTCTGGCAGGATCCCTCTGATTTTGTTTTCAGCTTATGTTCAAAACAATCACGTTTAAGCCATTGAATTAGTTTAGTCCGGTTATACATACAACCGCGAACAGCACATGTTGTCCCTGAGCTCCGTAACGACATCTCTCATAAAGATTTGCGTCTTTAAATAGTAAAATAATTCTCCGAAAAACAGCTAGCCTCTTCGCTAACTAACACACAAAATACCATTGGAATACCACAAACCTTCAATAAATTCTTCTCCCCTCAAAAATGAGAGAAATCTAATACATTGGCAAGCCCCCAAACAAACACTCAGCCAAATATAGAAATCGAACAAAACCAATAAAAAGCTTGGGCATTCATGGAAATGCTGTTTCACATGTGTTTATCTTAAGGATATTTGCTGCTAAAATCCATCTTTGGTGCGAAATTGGCCATATAAAGCCTGAAAGTATCAAATTTAGCATTTCCTACTTCATTTTTTTCTCAGGGCACCAGCAATCCAATCTTCTTGAGCAGCATTGCCTTCTTCCAAGACTCTCTGATTACCCAGCAGACTCAAATCAAACTGTCTGTCTACGATGTGAAGGACCGCTCACAGGGGACTGTAAGACATTATTAAAAAAACATTATTCTTAACATTCTGCATCTGTTTTGCTCAGCCTCATAAACTCGACTCTCTTTTTTTTAATTAGATGTACCTGCTCGGTTCGGCTATGTTTACAGTAAAAGAGCTGCTTCAAGACAAACACCACAGGCTACACCTCACACTGCGGTATGTGAGATAAATATAGGTACATACAAAGCCAATATGTAATACCACATCATAACATTTGTAGAAATTCCAGGAAATGTAGTCTGACAGGTATTTGTGTGTGTTTCGCTGGCTCAGATCAGCAGAGAGTGAGCGGATGGGTAACATCACCATCATCGCATGGCAGATGGAGGAGAGGAGAGACCAGCGAGCTCCTCTGGCACGTTCTGACACAGTGAACGGGAGGGTGAGTGCTTGCATACGCTGTTCTTCACACTATACATTAGTGGTCTATTGAGTTTTCAAGTGGCCGGTGTCCAAAATCAATTTTTAAAGTGCAGGGTGGCTGATGGCTGATTTGATAATTATATATATATGTCCATTGGGAATACTTTCAGTAGTTTTTTTGTTTTTGTTTTTTTTACCAGTGTCATGAAGGTTATTTAAAACTATTATAAAATTATTTTAATGAAAATAAAACTGAAATAAAATACACATATTAGATAAAAACTGAAACGAAAAATAGAAAACTTGAAATAAAATAATATATTAATACAAACATTATTCAAATTAGAAATAAATGAATTAAAGTTCAAAAATAATAAAAAGAGAAAAAATACCTAACAAAATTACTAAAACTAAAATTAACAACAGCAACAACAAAAGCTAATTGAAAATATTAAAAAATATAATAGTACTGTATATTAAATAAAAAACACTGGGGACTACACTACTGTTAAAGGGATATTTCACCCAAAACATTTTTATTCTATCATTAATTGCTCACTCATATGTCGCTCCCAACTTTTAAGACTTTCGTTCATCATATAAAGTGATCGAGTCTCTTCAGAAAATTTGGTCTAAACCTCTCAATATGGTTTAGTTTTATGATCTTTTTATAAACTTTTTGTAGCGTCAAAGTGGTAGTTGCTTAGGGTAAGTAATTAATGATGGAATTGTCATTTTTGGGTGAATAACCCTTTAAGGAGCCATAAGTCTCTATTTAATTCGGTAAATCTGAGTCTGATGACAAATCTTTAATATAATTATTTTCATGTTTCTTACAGATGGTGTTACCGGTGGATGAAAGTCTGACCGAATCTATGGGAGTAAAAGCTAAATCTGCCTCCTTATGTAAAGACAGTCTTTTAAAGGCAGGTGAGTGTCTATATACTGTACAAAACCTGTGCATTTTTATTTCTTAATTATTGCAGCCACATTCCATCTGGAGGTAGCGGTTTATTTCTAAATGTGCCCCTCATTACTGAAGCAATGGGCCATAGCGTTCACTTCCTGCTGTGAAGATTCATGAATGCCACAGGCATGACAGCTGTGAAAGAGGTTCGGAAAACGGTCCCTGCATCCATTAATGAAACACAAGAACTGTTATTTATAGAGTGTTAAATACTGCATGTGAATAGATTTATAAAGACTATAATTAGATTAGGATTCCTTTAAAGAAATATTAGTGCTTTTATTTAAGTTTAGGTTTTAGGCTTCAGTTCTGCATAATGCTGCTTTATTTAGCATATATCTTGTTTTCAGTTTCTGCACGCAAGAATCAACAGTAGTCATGTTGCAGTGTAAATGCAACTATGATGGTTAGTTTCAATCTACGGTTCAAAAGTTTGGGGATTTTTATTATTTCAATGATGATTTTTTTTTAAACTTTTTTCAGTGAATTTCAGTGGATTTATTTGATTAAAAATAAAAGACATTGCTTAATTTTGTGAAATATTTTTCCCATATAAAATAAGTGGTATCTATTTTAATCTATTTTAAAATGTATATTATTCCTATGATGGCAAAGCTGAATTTTCTGTATTATTACTCCAGTGTCACATGATCCTTCAGAAATCATTCTAACAAGCTAATTTGATGCTCAAGAAACATATCTTCTTACTATCAATGTTGCTTAACATGTTTGTGGAAACAGCATTTGTTTAAAATAGAAATAATTTACGATATAAACGTCTTCTCTCACTATTGATCAATTTAATGCTGCATACAGAAATTCTCTGATTGATTGGTTGGTGAATTGATTGGTTGATTAATTGATTCCAGTGTTTGGAGGCACTATTTCACGGATGTACCGATTTCCCACTACGGATGGAAATCATCTGCGTGTGCTGGAGCAGATGGCAGAGAGCGTGCTTTCCCTGCACATACCAAGACAGTTCGCCAAACTACTGCTGGAGGAAGATGCTGCCAGGTAAACCCAATTCACAGTTAGTGCTCATGCTCAGAAAGAATCTAAGTTCTTTTGAAGAATCAGTCAAGACTTTCATTTGTGCAGCGCATTGCAGTAATGTGGCATTAGCTTTCATTAGCTTCTAACTAACACTACTCAAACACTATGAATGTATATCATATTTCTAAATGAGATATTATGTTGTTGCACATTTCTATCTGCACGCAGGGTTTGTGAGCTAGAGGAGTTGGGCGAGTTGTCCCCCTGCTGGGAGAATCTGAGGAGACAGATCATCACTCAGTACCAGACTATCATCCTCACCTATCAGGAGACTCTCAGTAATCTACACGAATACAAGGGTAAGTTTGGTGGCACCAACTCAACCAGAAAGATTTCACATGTAAAGCTGCTGTCACAAAGGAAGGTGTTTTCTGCATTGTATTATTTATCTGATTCCTCTCACCTGCTATCCTGCAGGTCCTTCCTTCAAATCTAGCTCTCTAAAAGGAGAGAAAAAACTAGAGTTCATGCCTACAAACCTCCACGTTCAGAGGATGAGAGTGCATGGCGAGTCTGGCTACGGTGAGATGGTCAATATGTGCATTTCATAACAGGCATTCTTCAGTGGAGGATGTTCTTTACATAACGCACATTTTTGAACAGATCGCACATATGACGTGGTGACCACAGGGGCTCCTGCGGCGCATCATCAGGGCTTTAAGGGCAGTGGACTGAGGAAACTCATTCAGAAATTTGAGGAAGCCAAAAAGCAGTAAGACCTTTTATTATAAAGTCTTGGTGAAAAATTAATCAATTTTTTTGTGTTGCTCTGCTAGGTTTTGGGCTTTTTTATTGTGTTAAGACCTGTTCACACCAAGGGTGATAACAATAAAAATATAGTTCTAAAAAAATTTCTTAACCCTTAAATGCATGATGTTTCGCCAATCATTAATACATCCTTGGGTCTTTAGCGACCGGATCTATATCTAACACGGATTAATGACCTGTTGCGATAAAACTCATTTACATTACATTTATTCATTTAGCTGATGCTTTTATCCAAAGCGACTTACAATTTCTATACATGTCAGAGGTCGCACTCTTCTGGAGCAACTAGGTATTAAAGGTATAGCGGAGGATCTTTCCGAATTTTAGAGAAGACCCGCCCTCTCCAATTTTTAAAAAAAAAATGCACATGGACAAACACAACACTCTTTCTCCCGAGAGGGAACGTCTATTATGCCTTACACAATTATGTTGAAAATTATAAACTAACTCAAAACCATTCATAAAAAAGACAACAGGTCAAATGCCCTACCGTGTTTTATTTACTTATTATACTGATCGATTGAGTGACCGAGGACTCAAGACATGGTATGTACAACCCTGTATCACGCGAAATACGTTCTGAGGAAACTATTTTGCAAATCGCAATTACGTTACATGGCAACATATAAGCAGTGCTATTACGTTGGTCCTTAACCTAATGTCTCATTGTTAATAATACGTTATTTTTATACATAGTTGCATATGTAATGGAGAAGTAGCTTGTTGCATTTGTGTAATAATAAACACACAAGGTTTTAGAATATGAACACATGAACACACAAGGTTTTAGAATATTTCAGGGTGATACCATTTATCATTTGGTCAAAAGGCTACTTTAGACAAATTAAGATGTTTACCGTGTCTATGCGGTGCACGACTTGTGCCAGGGCTAGCATTGCTAAGTAGCTTGCATTAACTTTTACTAGTGATTTTAAATTGATTTCTCCAAATAGCATGACAAACTTTACCTGTCTAGTAGAATCTTCGCGACTGCGGCATCAGTGAGAAGCCCAACCTGTGTTTTTAGCGCACGCCAGCATATTAACCCAAAATCTCTCTGGTCTTGTTTCTATATTCTGCAGCCTCTCTTCTTATCATACACTTCATATACATTTTTTCTCTTTCGACCCTCAGCCATTTTCAAAGGAATGGTTGAAACCGCAACTCCGACATAATACACCTGAAAGTGAAAACTACATAGGGATGAGCACGTACGACGGCCTTACGTAAACATATCACCAGAATGATTGACACTTAGGTGGACCAATAGTATAGACTACCCACCCGGAAAAAGAAAATCCTCCGCTATACCTTTAAGTGTCCTACTCAGGGACACATTGGTGTCTCACAGTGGATTCAAACCCGGGTCTCTCACACCTAAGGCATGCGTCTTATCCACTGCACCATCACCACCCAACCCCATGATATTAGAATACCAATTCCAGTATAATAAAATAAAGCATATTTTGTTACCTTTTGGAGCTTGGAAGGGTTCAGTTTGAGCAGATGTTTTATACCATCATCACTGAGGCATCAGAGCTCATTTCCCAGGCCAGTACATACAGTATCTGGTTCATATTCACAATCTCAAACCTTCAAAACCTTCGATCTCAAATCTTCAAAATCAATATTTTGATTTCTGATAGCTTCTTCACTAGATCCACCATCAAGTGACAGTAATATTTGATTGCGTTCAGGACTTGCTCTGCTGTAAATTTCGGAGCCATTTCAAGTTTTGCTGATTATACTTCCTATTCTTTTGTTTTCTGTCTGCGTTAACTAGGAGTGAAACGACATTGATGAACGGCGTGATGGACATTGTGTATCAGACATAAACATGAAATGCACATATTCAGTCATTAAAGATTAAATTATTGTTGTGTATAAAGAAATATACTTAAACTGTTACACACCTCTCGGCTCATTAGCAACCCTATACAATTTTTTTCAATAATTATCATTGGAATTATTAATATGAACTCCGCATTTACGAAAGCAGTAGATGACAAAATTGTAGTGCCTGCTTAGACTTAACAGTCCTATATCATGCATTGGTCTGGATGCTAATATTGTTATCATTACAGTTATTGTTCCTGGTGTGAAAGGGCCTTAATTCTTGTAGTGTGAGGGACATATTTTGCGGTTTTATTTCACATTTAGCACATTAACTGCAACTATAATCAGTTGCCCTTATGTTGTTTGCTTTCTGATCAGTCTTACATTTTTTAATATATTGAAATTTTATTTCACACTTATTACGTGACTGCGATTGTAATCAGTTGCCCTTATGTTGTTTGCTTTCTAATCAGTGCGAATGAGGGTGAAGGGTGAGTTTCAGGGTTGACTGTTTTCCTGTCATTTTCACATGTGATGGTGTTTCATCCTGTTTAAGATCAGTCGGCGTCAAGTCCTTTACATTTGAAGGATCTTTCTTGTTTGCACCAACATTTGTAATGATGATGTGTTAGCACAAAACTGCTTTTCTACTCCATCCGTACGTCTTCTTTGTGTGCTTGTATATCACACCATCTCATTTGCAAGTATAGTCCTCTTGGTCACAGCTTGCGTAGCTGAACAAGTGATAACTAATGGGGAATTGGAGACTGTGTTGTTTTGTTTTTAATGCTGTGTCTCGTTATAGTGCTGGTGAGTCAGCTCCACACTCAATGCGATACCAGCCACAGGATGTGGTGAAAGCTAAAGAAATCATTTCCCATATCAACACTCTAAAGACGCAGGTCAGTTACTACACCGAGCGGCTGTCCCGCGCTGCCAAAGAACGCTCAACCAATGCACTGGAGAGGACGCTCGCTATCCTGACTGAAAAGGTGAGAGGCTTTTGCATGGACCACGTACTACTTACTGACCGTCTAATGCATATTGCACACAAGAGCAGGCTGAAATTGCCAGCTCCCATCTGATTGGCTTTGCGCAACTTAATAAGAGCACACAGTACGACTTTTAGAAAGATATAGTCTGAGTTTTGACTGAGGTATTTAAACTAGCAATTAAATTAGTTAAGACCACCACTGGAAAATTATATGAAATAATCTCTAGAACCCTCGATATTATCCGATAATCGGATTTTATCTGGGGAGAAATCACTACAAAATAAATGGCACCTAAAACACAACCAACTTTTGGTTGGTCACTTTATATGTCAATCCTGTCTGGGTGGGTGGCGCTTCTCAAGACATTTTATACATTTTAACAGATCTATAGTTCTTGTGCAGTCAATTATGAATATTTAAGAATCATTATTAACCAACTTTCATAAAACCTGTTATGTACATCAATTTTTATTTTATATTTAAGCATCAGTTTGTAAATGTTATGTTTTCACAGGTTGTGATGACACATTTCCACAGTTATAGTGACATCATAAATCAAGTTTAATGCCAATTTAATGCAAAGTCGTAGAAACGCTACTGTGTAACTTTTTTTTTTTTTATTCCGCTATTGGAGCGAAAGGGAAAGCAAGTAGTAGTTTCATTCATCATTATAGAAGTTTACGCAACTATGATGACTTCTGCTTCTGAGAAGCCCAGAACTATTGTAACTATTATGTAATGTTTCTCATGCTCAACAGATCTTCCCAGTAAAAGCTTTTGAGACCCACTTAATGAGTAAGTGCCATGTCTGTGCCATCCTCTCTGTCTCTCTCAGACGCGGCAGCTGGTGACAGTGTGTGACAGTAAGCTGCTAACTACAGCAATCCAGGCACTGAGTGCTGCGCGCCCAGAGTTCATCGCATCCAGAGGCTCTCCGTCCACCCATGACACGGAGCGTGTGGTCCTGAGGAACGATCAAGGCTCTCCACAGGCCAAATGGAGCGGGAAGGGGAACAGAGCATCCATGAATTTAAACTGGCAGGAGGAGGAGTGGGTAAGGTCATTCAGAGACCGACATTATACCTTCATGATTTGACAATCTGAAAAAATCTGAAAATATTCCCTTTTTCCTTCAGGAAAAGATCTGGCAAAATGTGGATAAGAGTCTGGAGTGTGTGATCCGCTGTGTGGACAGACTGCTGACGAGAGAACGGTTGCAGAGCGACAGCAGTGAAGACGTCTTCTTGTCTGACCAACAGGCCGACAATAGCAAGAGAGGTAGCCAGGGCAATGCATTCTGGATCAACCCTGGTGACAGGCTCTTCTCCCTTTGCTCCTCCACCGCCCTGACCTCATCACAACCTCTTTCTGATCAGTCTTCCTCACCATCCTCATCACCCTTACTGAACCCTGCATGTCCATCCAGTCCTTACACTCACTCCTGTAGGTCCCCCCCTGTTTTAAGTTTTCTTTGAATTCCTGCTCACAAAACTGCTCACATACCACAGATGCTTTCACTTTTACATCCTGTTTTAGTGACATGTGAAAATGCTGCAATCGGGGACATTTCTACTTGATATCACCAACTTCAATCAAAGTGGAAAAAGAAGTACACTTTAGCATAGTTTTAAAAGAGTACTTATTACATAAATAATATACCTTAAAAGTATATAGTTAAGTGGGAACTGAAATTAACACTCAATTTCATGCTATTTGGATTTAGATGAAAAGTATTATAGCGTAAATTTATATTAAATGTAATTAGCTGAACTTTAGAGTGCTTTTTTGAGTAGGGCTTAAGTTGTACTCCTATATTGACTTGACACACATTTATGGTAAACATATGTAGTTTCTATATAAACTTGTGTCATGTATTGAAATACTGTATATTTGTAATTACACATAATAATGAAGTACATTTAAAATATATTAACTTTAAATGTAATATTGAAGTATGTTGGCATTTGTTAGTATGATCATCAGCAGAGAGGAACTAAGACTCATTCATGCATTTTATTTTGATAAAAAAAATAGTGTTTGTCTTGTGGGTGCCACCGTATTTGTGACATCTACATCTTCGCAAAATTACGGATTTCTAAAATGTACACTATTTTAAGCAGGAAATTAATTTCCATCATTTTCTGTGTTGATTGGAATGCAGCATAATGCATGGTTGCTGTTGCTTATATTGGGAAATGTATTTTATGTCTATGCTAACAAACCAAAAACATCACAAGATTCATTCACAGTGATGGCCTTTTTTTATTCTTTTTCTGTTTTACTGATTAATGTATTATTAAATGATAATAAAAAAAAATAATAATATTACCATAGTTGTCTTTAACAAAATGTATTCTCTCTCTATCCTTCTTTAGATAGTCCCAGTGTTGAGGGGTCCTCTCCTGGTAAGCCTCTCAATGCAAACCATTTTTACCAATTGCAACTATATATGTGGGCTGTCCAGTTGTTGTTAGCTGTGTGTTTTATGGTTCTAGGTGAATGGAGTGATGCTCTGTATCCCCTCCTTACCACTCTGAACGAGTGTGTAGCCATGATGAGCGACAAAGCCAAGAAGTCCATGGTGTTTCTACTAATGCAAGACGGCGCTCCCACTATCGCCATGAGTTTGTCACTACAGTACCGCAGAGATGTGGTGTTCTGTCAGACAGTTAGTACAAGATTTATTAAATAGATACACAACATCATTGTATTGAGAGTCAAATATAACCCGGCTCACATGAAATGTGCTCCGTAGAAAGTTCCAATTACTTACTATAAAATTGAAAAGGCAGTGGAAAAATATGGAATATGGAAAGAAGCATAAATGGATGGAGAAGCATAGGTTACTGTAAAGCTACGTCTTAGTTTGTGCTAAATTTGGCGAAAGTCGAGTACAAATCAGCATGAAGTTTTAACTTTTACTCTCGTGTAATTGAAATCATAATTCTGTGAAATGAATTCTGTTAAATTGTCAGAGTATCAATTAAAATACATAGTCATACTGTCAGGACCTGCCCATACTGAAACATCAATTTTCAAATGTATTTTGAAATATTTCAAATTATACCAAAAAAAAGTCCACATTATATGGCTATATTTATATAAATATATCTTTGATAAGATTTTGTTACTTTATATTTCCTATTTAATATTTGTCCTTTTTATTTTATATATATATATATATATATATATATGCATTTACCTTAATTTTTTTTTTTTTTTTAAGATTGGAAATGTTTTTTTCCTGCCAATTTTAAGTACATTTTGTGATAATATTACATTTTTGTACATTACATTACAGTACATTTTTTGTAATATTTTAAAACTTTATATTTAAGGCTTAAACTAAATTTGGCATATATTTGATGCTGTGGCCAGGCTTTTTTTCCCCCTTTTTGCCAAATGGATGGATATCCCATAATGCATTAGTTTTACCAGGATTGGTAAGGATTGAAGGCAACAACATTGCGACTTCCTGAAAAATTCTGGGTGAAAAAAATTGCATTGTGTGATATAAATTATAAATTGCAAGGAAAAAAAGTCAGAATTGTGAAATAAAAAGTTGCAATTCCATAAAAAAAAAAAAAAAGAGTACTCTAAAAAGATAACTTTGGAATGCAATAATGCTGCATTGTCCAGTGTACAGACATTTCCCCAGCTGACTGTAAATTAGCATTTGATATCCATTCTAATAAAATGTATTTTCTTCTGTAGCTGACAGCATTGATCTGTGGATTTGTGATAAAGCTGAGGAACTGTCTAAGTGACAGTGGCTTCCTCAGACAACTCCACACTATTGGCTTATTGGTCCAGTTTGAGGGTCTCCTGAGCACCTATGGTAAACATACAAGCACATTTCAATTCCGCTTATTTATGTATGGTGGTAAATGTATCTGAATATGTTAACTCAGAGCTCTTCTTTCGTCTCAAAGGGGAGGAACTCTCCATGCTGGAAGACATGAGCGTAGGCGTCATGGACCTTCGGAATGTCACCTTTAAAGTTACACAGGCAACCTCCAGCTTCAGCCCCGATATGCTGCCTGTCATCACGGGCAACAGAGATGGGTTTAACGTGCGTGTTCCGTTACCGGGGGTGATGTTTGATGCGTTGCCACGGGAGATCCAAAATGGGATGCTGTTGCGTGTTCAACCGGTGTTGTTCAATGTAGGAATCAATGAGCAACAAACGCTAGCGGAAAAGTATGTGAAATCTTCCCACCTCAGTGTGCAGGCCGATTTGAGCAAGTCATGAAATATGAATTGTATTCATTCATTGTACATTCTGTATACAAATATTTATACAGCATTGCTATATTTGTTTATATCGTTATTAAGGTTTGGAGACACTTCGCTGCAGGAAGTAGTGAATATGGAGAGTCTAGCTCGTCTTACATCCTATTATGACCAGTTTAAAGAAGTGCTGCCTGAAGACTGTGAGTCCTGAATACTCGTTTTTAATACACTGACTGACTTGTGAAAAGTACACTTAAAAAAAAAAAAAAAGTACTTGTTACAGATATTCAATAATTTCAAAGAATATACTTAAGAGTGAACTGAATGTAATGATTTCAGACACTTAATTGCATGTTTTATAGTTTGAGTCAACCACTCAATTTGTACTTAAATACTTTATGTAATATGTAGTCTTTGAAATATGCTTAAAGTGAACTGTCGAATGTACTGACAAGCATTTATGGTAAACTAAAATATATCTTAATGCCATTGTATTGCATGTCATGTATTTAAATATATTTGTAACTAATTATACATTTGCAATGATTAAGTTGCAATTTAGTACATTTAAATGTATATCAACTTACCTATTTCAAGTCCCTTTATGAAAGAAAATTAGCATATGTTTTCTGTCTGTCCTAAGTTAATTTTCTCCATCCATAGGTCTCCCCCGCTCCCGCAGTCAAAACTGTGTGCCTGAGCTACTCAAATTCCTGAGTCAAAATGTCAATGCCAGGAAGAGCAAGAATGTGGACATCCTGTTGCAGGCAGCAGAGGTACAGCAATCCACCATTACTATTCTTCTTTTGTGCTTAGAGGTTTGTTCATACCAATAATGTTCAGCACAAAACTGCACACAATTTTTCAGACCAATGAGTGAAAAACAGCAGGCGGGTTGAGTGAAAATGCAGATTTACTCTCTGACAGTAGATAGCGCTTTTAGAAAAGCAGAAATACTCCAGTTAACCCGGTAGACAAAGCACTGCACAGCTTTTTTGTCACCTGCTTATCACGTTTTCATGAAAAGAGAGGCAGTTCTGGGCTGCGTCTGAAATCACATACTTCCATATAGTAGACGAAAAACAGATTGTTACAAAAGTGGTATGTCCGAATTCACAGTACTCATAAAAGAGTAGGCAAACAGTACTTCTGGCGAATTTCTAAAGCATGAAATTCAGCCGTTGGCTGAACGTCTGATGCATATGGCACACAAAATTGGAAACACAAAGTCGTCCTCGGATTGGTTGAATTTTAAAGGATTTTCAGGATACGCGCATGTTGCGTTCTTTAACGATCCGCCTGGAAACAAAGATGTTGTGAAGCCAAACCCCCTCATGGAAGAAAGCTGTTGTGTTTACAACTGTGACAATAAGTGCTTATCAGAATCAACTAAACGCTGGATTTTCAAAAGTATGTAACGTTAGCGTCATAGACTCTCTAAATACGTTGACTAACGCCACTAAACATGACACGGAACAAAACGAACTGTGATTAGTTGTTTTGCAGTCCTTGTCGATCGACAATGTTTTGTGCATTAATTATTTACACCAAATATTCATCTTGGTGTATAAACTTTAAACCTTACACATAAATTTAAACAAAACATAAATGTGATGGTGCAGTGGATAAGACACATGCCTTTGGTGTGAGAGATCAGGTTCGAATCCACTGTGAGACATCCAATGTGGCGCTGAGGAAGACACTTTACCCCTAGTTGCTGAGACGTGCGACCTCTGACATATATAGCAATTGTAAGTCGCTTTGGATAAAAGCGTCAGCTAAATGAATACATGTAATGTAAATGTAAATAAATATGGGGAAATCACAACTCCAGTGATAGCCGTTAACGCAATGACATCTTTCTCATTTGTTGCTTCAGGTTTGTCGGCGTCTGAATGGTGTGCGCGTGACCAGCTGCAAGAGTGCAAAGGATCGCACGGCCATGTCGGTGACCCTGGAGCAATGTCATATCCTCCAGCAGGAGCACTGCATGGCCCCACAGGTCTTCACCCAGGCCTTGGATTGTATGCGCAGGTAAGACCACACTTACAGTTAACAACACTACAGGAGTGTTGACACTACAGGGGTCTTTTATTGACACATCATTCTATCCCTGTCTCTCAATCCCCTCTCTGGTTCACAGCGAGGGCTGCCGGCGAGAAAACACCATGAAAAACGTAGGCAGTCGCAAATATGCCTTCAACTCCCTCCAGCTGAAGACTTTCCCTAGGCAGTACAGACCACCAGAGGGCACCTATGGGAAAGTGGAGACTTGAGCTGACAAGCAGTCCGCTGTTCTAGCCCGCTGGGACTAGAGCTGCATGTTTCTCCTTGTTTGCTTTACTTTATTACCACATATCTGATGGAAAAGTTCGATTATGCACAGTCATGCTCTGGTTATCATCCAGATGATATTGTTAATATTTTCAGATCCCCGAACCAATTCTATGAACCGTGGCTCTGAGAAGAAAGGAGATAGGGGAATAAAATCACCTGAAAGTATAAGAGTAGCTTGCTTGGTTGTTGCACTGAATGCAGGTAAGAAGGCCTGTTAGAATTTAAATTACTTTTTAAAAATAAGACCTTGATTTCATTTATCAGAGCAGTTCCCAAATAATCCCAAATTCATTCCATCTGTGTTTAGTCAATCATTTCCAGCACCACACTTGGTCTTTGTATTAAAATGCAAAGGTTGAAACCATCAGCACTGAAGTAAAGTTGTGTTTTATAATACTTTAGATTGTATTCAAAGTTCAGTAGGTTATAGGTAATGTGTATGTGCTGTGGTATAGTAGACGATTTGTTCCCAAAGCCAGTTTTAACATTTATAAGGGTAAGTCAGGTTAAGTTAGAGAATCAGTATATAGACCCCATTGTTAATCATCACTTCATTTCAAGTATACCCAAAACTAGCTGCCTTAAGAGAGTCCACCATTGCATTTGTTTAGATAAATATGTAGATATTTCGAAATCTGTGTATGACTATTTGTGACGTGGCAGATTGTTTTATTTATTTACCGTAAGACTCTCTCTTTACGAAAGTGTTAGTGCTTTAATGCAGGCCTTCGCTCTCCTGACTTGCATTGTACGGGTTGTAGAGTTTAAGAGGACATGCTTCCTCCTACTGTTGCCAAGCACAGCTAGTCTCTGTACAGTGAGCAATGCATACAGTGTGAATATACATTCTTTGTAAGGAAATATGTGAGAAGACACTATTGATATGTTCATTGACTGTCTGTATGTTTTCATAGTTCAAAGTTTCTTTGTTGGACGTTTCTATTGGTTGATATGAATGTCTGTACTGATCTAATAAGGAGCAACTGGTCCTACAATGTGAAGAATATTTCTTGAGGTTTTTTGTTTTCTAAAGCAGAGGGATGCATTTACACTATTTATTTTATTGTAATAGTTATAAGAAAACCGTAATGTTGCATTACTGAACATATTAAAATACTCAATATGTACCACAGTGAGAAATCATCAGCCTTTGTATCTGCACAAATAAATGCACAAATGGACTGTAAGTTCCTGGTTTGTATATTGCAAGATTGAACTTCTGAAAGCTTAAATTTGCAATTTGGGAGACAAGAGCATGTGTCTTTCTTAACCTCTGCTAAAAACGTTATTTAGATTTGAACCAGACGCACTGCATGGAAGGTAGGCTACTAGTGTTATTTCAGATTATACTTAATTGCTATTTTTAATAAATATATATTTAATTATTTGACCACTTTAATCATTTAATTTAATATGTTTCTTTCTTCACTACTGTGAGTGCAAAAGCACTGCTATGTTGTCAGAGAATGCCTTTCTATTGGTCTTTCAGTGTTTTTTTTTTTTTGTTATTATTATTATTTTTTTGTATGTATGCATGTATGTTCAAATACCTTGCTGTACAAAATGCCACTTTCTTTCCCCAAACTACAGCTTTAAAATTAAAATAACATACCAGCGTAAATGGTAAGCTACTTTATTGCTTTGTTCACAGCTATGTTATATAGAAAGACGGACAGATATTGGGGTTGGACAAGAAACTGAAATGAAACACCTGTTTGGACCACAACAATTTCTTAGTATGATGTAGACCCTCCTTTTGCAGAAAATACAGCATTAATTTGTCTTGGGAATGACAAGACACGTAGTCAGGTCACTGTGATGCTGGTGAAAGAAAAAAAGGTTTTCTGACTTCTAAACTCCAAAATACTCCATAGTGGCTCACAAAATATTTAGAACAATGCTATTGTTCTGCCAATTCAACCTTTACACTCTGCTATTGATTTAGTGTGAAATCAGTGAAGTGAACCACATACAGGGGTGTGTGTTTGTGTATTTATGTACATTTTGTTTATCTAAAAAATGGATCCGCCATTCTATGTTCATTCTACAGCAATTTATGCTGCTTCTCTTAGTTCCAGCATTGAACCCCATTCATTTTCAGTGCTTCCGAAGTACGCTCGCTGGTAAATTAATGAAATTACTGTATTTTTTACTTTTACACACATTAGCCGACCTCTCGTGAATCTAGTCTGTAGTTATATGTTATGTAGCCAGATCTAGTAAATGTTTATTGGAAGATAATAGGTTGCAGCGATAGCTTACGTGACCAACACTTCACTAACGCTGTTAGCTAACTTATGGTAAAATATTATAATAAATGGTAACCTGGTGTATATAATATTTTTTATAACATCATATAAATATACAACATATATTATTTGAAAAATATATAAAATATTATATATATATATATATATATATATATATATATATATATATATATATATATATATATATATATATATATATATATATATATATGAAGAGTTCAGATGCAAAAGCCTCTAAATGCCATTTGAAATTTTCTTCTTTAATGATGATTTTTATCAAACTTGTATATTTAAGTTCAGTAATTTCACTTAAATAACAATAGGTAATTATCATTGCCATTTAAGTGAAATCACTGAACTTAAATATACAAGCTTGATAAAAATGATCATTAAAGAAGAAAATTTCAAATGGCATTTAGAGGCTTTTGCATCTGAACTCATATATATATATATATATATATATATATATATATATATATATATATATTAGATATACAGTACATACACACAATTGATTTATTTAAATGGTTTAGGGTTATGCATGTGTTTGTGTAATGTATATAGGCATACAGTAAATATATATATATATATATATATATATATATATATATATATATATATATATATGAAGAGTTCAGATGCAAAAGCCTCTAAATGCCATTTGAAATTTTCTTCTTTAATGATGATTTTTATCAAGCTTGTATATTTAAGTTCAGTAATTTCACTTAAATAACAATTAATAGGTAATTATCATTGCCATTTAAGTGAAATCACTGAACTTAAATATACAAGTTTGACAAAAATCATCATTAAAGAAGAAAATTTCAAATGGCATTTAGAGGCTTTTGCATCTGAACTCTTATATATGAAGAGTTCAGATGCAAAAGCCTCTAAATGCCATTTGAAATTTTCTTCTAGAATGATCATTTTTTATCAAGCTTGTATATTTAAGTTCAGTAATTTCACTTAAATAACAATTAATAGGTAATCTTCATTGCCATTTAAGTGAAATTACTGAACTTAAATATACAAGTTTGATAAAAATGATCATTTTAGAAGAAAATTTCAAATGGCACTTAGAGGCTTTTGCATCTGAACTCATGTATATGTATATGTATGTATATATATATATATATATATATATATATATATATATATTAGGGTTAGTTATTATGTGTGATTGAAACATGTGTAGGCCAATACATAGTATACATCCTATAAATCTGTGTGTGTTTTCTGATAAATGGTTTAGTCTATGAATAGGGTAGGATGAAGGGCTACATTAGCCACTGAATTGAATCCCAACAGGATTATATTTAGGAACAAATATTTTACTCATTAACTCATCATCATATCTTTATTCAGGACATACATATTAAATGGTCCGTATATACAAAATAAAGTACATTCAAAATAGAAAAGATACCTAACAGTTAAAATTTACCGAACATTACTGTAAATATGGTCATTGCTACGTTATGGGAGCAGTCTATATCCCTCCTAAATCATTCATTTGTACATGCACAGCGTAATTATTTATATTTTATGTTGGTTGTCGTGATTGTTATCCTGAACGGGCCACCGGTCCACGGGTCTTTGCGTGATCACGGTAGGCTAATGGCTGAATCGGAATTTATAAGCAAGATCACGGGTCGGGAATCAATAAGTTAACCTACATCCCAGTTGTGCTAAAATAAATATCATGAGACGTCCATCATCAGATGAATGACATGGAAAAGTTAAGTTAGAGCCGCTAAAGCCAGTGCAACTACCAATGTGAACATGAACACAAGCTTTTCCCTCCAAAAATATACAGCCTAAAAAACATCTAAGTTGTCACCCTGTCTCTCCAAATGCAACACTGACATTAATCAAACGCAATAAAAGCTTAAAAAGTACTTTGGTGTGCCTTTTATTTTATATTTACCGTTTAATAATGCAATCGCTGCTGTCTGTCCATAGAAGCGCATGACAGCCCGCGTCTGTTTTGGAACTATTGGGGCTTCCATGAACCACGTGACAGCCTTGCGGCGACATCAAAGCGTGTCGCCACTCTCTCGGACCATAGACACAATACATAGACGCCCTATTGGCCGCTTTGGAACGTTGCTGCTATACGTCAACGGGTCCGCCATTTTGCGGAGGTCAAGACTGCATTGTAATTAAATGTGAGTAAACGGGTGAGCTGCGTTTTTCTGGATAAAAACATTCTTGGATAAGAATGGTGATCCCCATACGGAGATATTTAAGTTTGCTCATTGTGGAAAAAGCATTTTATGTGACTGACCAGATTTTAGCAATAACATTGATAACTGATGGATCCTTTATGATAATACATGTTGTGGTACAACTGGGCATGCAGTGCAATGCAAATAGTAATTATAACATAAAGTGAAAAGTAATAGTAACTAGTTTAGTCAATACAATAAACAAATAGTATACAGCAAATAAAATGGTAATGAATACATGTACAAATATTGATAATAGTTTATTAATAATAATAGAATAAGACATTTCAACTACAGAATAAACACACACACAAAATATATTTAATCTTTAGCTATTTGTGTTAAATTTCTGTTTTATTGATCAGTAATAGGCTAGCCATTATAACAGAAGTAACTTATTTTTACATACAATGTTAAAATAGCCTAAATATAAAGTTATGAAACTTTACTTTGCCCTCAGCCAAAACTATTTACCAAGGAACCATTTATAGATTAATGAGACCAAAGATAAACACAAATTATACGAATTATATCTCATGTTTAACGTCTAGACTAGAGACATCCGAGCCAGCGGCAACCGTCAGAAGCACTGGCCGTGGTACGGCTGTTCCAGGCGGGGGAGACGAGCGCTGGGCGGGGGCGCAGCAACTCCGAAAACTTCAGATCAAATTTTTAAATAGGCTCTATCTTTATAAACAAACCACATATTTGAGCTTTAAACAACTACATTGTCGACTGAAAAACTATTAAAACTACATTGCGTGACACAAAACAGTAGTATTTAATCTCTAAACGTTACTTAGGCCTACTAATTAAATCATGACCAAATACAACCAAAAACAAACGTTCAGTCTTGCTTGTGAAAGGTGCTTCCTCGAAAGCTGTTTTACAGCCCCAAGCAGCAGCACACAAATCAGGCATTATGGGAAAGTTGCTCTCCCCAATATGGCGGCGCCGTTGACGTACGCTCCAGCGGCCAATAGGGCGTCTATGTATATATTATGTCTATGGCTCTGAGTCTGACTGCCGCGTTTTGGCCTACAGAGTGACGTCGCAGAGCGGATGACCGTTTAAGGATGACGGCCCCACGGCTCGTCCGTGTCAGACAGTAGTAGCGGTCGATAGGGCGTTTATCTGATGTCTATGATTCTATCTCATATATTTTACCTAGATTCTACATCATATATATAGGCTATTTTTTTTCTACACTGTCGATTGCATAGTGCGCGTGCAATTTAATGTTCTCAGCCGCATTATTTAGATGGACCGTTAGAGTAGTATTTCTTAGAAGACAACGGACACTTGGATTAAACACAACTCGGTAAACACACAGTTACTCTCCGGTTTGTTTTGTGTTGGCTTACCTACAGTAACGTTTCAGAATATGGGGGAGCGCGCGCTAGTCTAACACGTTTAATGGGAAAACCACCGTATATGAAAAATTATTGCCTAATAACTATCCAAAGTTCGTCCGACAGATAAACTACTCCTTACAGACACCGAGAGCTCGCGACTGCCTCAGACTGCTTTAAAGAAACTCACACGAACGTCTGCAGCCACTTCACTACAGGTAAGATATCATGCAGAGTCCGCATTCAGGTAATAGTGCCTGTATGCATCTACTTATTGGTCATTGGCTTACATATTTATCCTAAATGAAGTGTCTTGCTAAAGGGCACACAGTCATGTGGATTTTGAATGTACAACATTCACCAGCCTGAAAAATCCCACCACACCACCAATTGTTGTTAAAATAAATTACTTTGTTCTCATATCTTTGTGCAGAAGTCAGCATGAAGAAATTGCTTGTGGATGTGGACTGTGGTGTGGATGATGCTCAGGCTATCATGATGGCTTTGGCAGATCCGGATGTACAGATCCTGGGCATCACCTGCGTTCAGGGCAACACTTCAATAGAAAATGTCTGCAAGAATGTCTTGCGTGTCCTGAAAGTTTGCAATCATTTGAAGGTGAGATATGCTTAGAAAAAGATATGCTTTTTGCTTTGATATGCAGTCGATAACTGGCTTCGAGTTTGAACTTCATCTCGTCCCTTTCCCTATAACACTATCAAAGTGTCAAGTAAGCTTCACTAACTAACTTGCTGGGCTGCATTAAAAAGGCAGACTACAGACAATGTCTTCGATCACAGACAAATTTGAGAGAGAATCCCCCAAAAAGAATATAACAGTTTTTTATAGAATAGGAGCATGGAAAAAATGACATGATACATAATACATTACATGATTTCCCTACCATAGTTTTTTCATATGCAAACACTTCTGTAACTTGTTAGAAGCAAACTTCAATCTCAAATCATAAAGTTGATTACTTTAATATGTCATGAGACTATTCTAGAATGTTATATTTTTGAATTTGTCTTGTCAGCATCTCAGAATTTTCGACTGGTTTCGACACGGTACGTTTTCTGCAAATGTTAGAATGTAAGGCCTAAAGGAGAGAAGTAAGATTAGATGTTAGAATTATTATTAGTTTAAAATACAGTTTACTATTTTATTTATTTAAAAAATCCATCACAGTGGGATAGACATTTTGACTTAAGTATTGTGCAGTGATTTCATTATATTACCTGGACCAAGTATTGAAGTCGGCATTAAATGGAAGTCACTATAGTCTTTTCTTCATTATTGTGACGTATATCAGAGCATGGTTGCGATGTCTAGGTATCAAAAATAGCTCAAATGTAGCCCATTGACCTTATCAAAAAAATATGCCTCTCCCATATCTAAAATATTTTTCAGTCACTGTTATGCAAATATGAACACCACTTGATTGTATCGTAGTGATCTTGAATACAGCTTATCAAGCACAGTTGTATCATTGGTAGAATATAAAATATTTCAATACAAGCAATCCAGTTAAATATTATTTATGCAATATGTCAAACCTTTGACTCAAGGGGTGGAAAAATTAACCCACGGCAGGAGTTTAAAATTAACCCAATTCAAGTCAAGTCATCTTCATTTAAAGTGCTTTTAACAATATAGATTGTTCCAAACTCTTAAGTTCTCTATACGGCAACTTTAAAAATGTGAGCCTGTGAGAACACTGTTGGCGTGCACATGCGTATTAAGAGTTCATTCTATAGGCATGTAGAATATATGTGCGCAGGCACTTCGGCGTAGCCACGTGAACTGGAATTATCCTGACAACAATTATCTGTATAGAGGTTGTAGTGGCTTCTTTCCTTCTTAAGCCACTCCCGTGAGGTAAAGTATATTTGACGCTACATCTGTTTTAACAAGACTTGAGCTACATTGTAACAAAAAGGTGAAAACTTGAAGACAAAACAGTGTTTTGTAATGAAGGTCAAAAAACTCCCTTCCCCTCTGCCCTTGCCACATCACTTCCTGTTTAAGATGGCTACCTTCAGGAAGTCCCCAAAAAGGGGTTCAATTCCTTCCCCTTACCACTTGGGGGGAGTGCAGACAGTAGTTACATACAACCATGACATTAAAGGGTAACTAAACCCCTGGGCAAAGCCTGACTCCACCCACTGGCAATATTTGAAAATGCTGAAAAAGTGGGCAGACCCCAGCGGAGATAGAGGGGTACTCACAAGATGGGTACTCACTCTCAATACTCACAATTACAACTCCTGACTCCCTACAGTGGTTTTTGACGACACAATCTGGTTTGTTTATACTGCCAAGGGCGTAGCTCGCGTGGTGAGCTGAAACCTGCGTACGTCACGAAGTGCGGAACATCTAATAGGAAAATTCAACTGCAGTAGCCACCGTTCAACCTGAAGAGGGCAGCACTAAGACGTTTTTTACACCATATATTGTAGAAATAAAACACTTTATAAACAAATGTCAAAAAAGTTACTCGAATCAATGACTGGTATTAATAAAGATCCATTCTTACAGATCATTAACTAAAAAAAGTTGGTCTAGTGTTTAGTTACTCTTTAAGTAACATTATTAATAGCCTTATGGCTCCTACATTCCAGCCCCTTAATTGACGATGACAAGGCAATTATATAAAATATACATATACTGAGGAGCCATATAAGCACATATTAACAAAGTACTCCAGAAGTCTGTTGCAGCTTTGCGAGCAAGAAGGGTTGCTTTATCAGCAGTTACTTTTATCCTCATTGACGACACTGATGATGGTATACTTGAGCTGTGAGAACTACGAGATTTATGATACCTCTTGGACACATTCGAAACACTATCACTTGGCTCGATGAGTGTTTGTGGATCCTTTTGAACATTTTTACACATCTCATTCACTCATAAAGTTTTCAAATGTAGCCATTTTAGGCTCAAACCAGTCAATGCGCTCATTTTCTCTGATCTCGTCAGATAGTTGTTCTTGCACAAGCCTATGAGCAGTCTTGAATTCTTCAAGTGACATAAAAAATATCTCAGCACTTCTTTTTATTGATTCCACATCACAACCCTCAGCAAGCAATATGCCTTTACTTCATTCATCCTACGTGTGCACACACCAAGCTTTCCCCTACGCATAGAACTGAGGGATCCAATGCTTTGTTCAACTCTGTCCTTTTCATTTTTGGACATTTCATCAGCCATGTTTGACACAAACAAGCACAATCAAGTATCCAGCTTTCCATAGAATCAGCAGGCCACAATGTACAGATAAGCATCAGCTTCTTGTACCATGCTTTGATCAAAGCCAAAAATCTCAACCACAGCTTTTAGAAATAAGTTCACCCTTGTTTACTCACGCATTGGATGAATTTCAGAATCCTTTCAAAGCTGTCGATACGTGTCACTCATGGCTTGATCATTCCAGATGTAGGCCTTGATTGGGCCTACCGCATGCCTGCATGTCCTTCTTAGGAGTTTTTTGACTTCTTTCCATGTAGTGGCTTCTTTCCTTCTTGACTTGAGCTTTATTGTAACAAAAAGGTGAAAACTTGAAGACAAAACTCAGTGCTCCAAAACAAACAGTGTTGTGTAATGTTGGTCAAAAACTCTCTCCCTTCCCCTCTGCCCTTTCCACATCACTTCCTGTTTAAGATGGCTACCTTCAGGAAGTCCCCAAAAAGGGGTTCAATTCCTTCCCCTTACCACAGGGGACAGAGGGGCACAGAGGGGACACAGGGGTTTCTGTCCCTCCTAGACAGTAACACAACTACTTTGACGCTTCAAAAAGAGATTGTTAAACTAATCCGTATGAATTGAACGGTTTATTCCATAAAATTGAAAGAGATTTTTTTGATCGCTTTATTTGAAGAACAGGTTAAATTCAAGCTTTTATTCACATATATATATATATATATATATATATATATATATATATATATATATATATATATATATATATATATATATATTCATCTGCATTTTTGGGTGAAGTAACCCGCTAAATATAGAGCCGTTTTTGCTCTAGATACCTTTAAAGGAGTGAGCAAAGACGAGCATAACCAATGTTCTTCACATAAGCAGGTTGATAACTAAACATTTTTTTATTTTGTTTTTCTCACTAACATTTAAATATTTAAATCAAATTAAATGGCAACAGTAAAAATAACTAGCTAGGTTAGCTGATTGCCTTAAAAGTCCATTGATTTCGCCATCAGGTCATGGTCACAAAAGGTCCATTTTGATTTCATGGACTTTCAAGGAAGTCAATAGGCAAATTTTTGATTGTATATTGGCTTTGGAATTCCAATACTAGCTCCTTGTTGTCAGTTATTTATTTAGTAAATAATTGATGTCATACTTCCTAAAGCAGAGGTTTTTCAAAGAGCTATACTTTGACCCATTAGTATGTCCTGTATTGTATAAGTATTGTGCAATGATTGCATAACTCATGACAACCTGCAAAAATTGGTGAACCATTCTGCTCAGCACTAACAAAGGGATTCACGAACAACCAGCTCAAAAGAATTTTTTTTTTTTTTTTTAATTCAGCTACATTTAGTCTTGTGCATTGATATGACCCTTCATGGTTTTTTAAAGTCTAAGGAATTAGAAGGGGTCACTCTTAAGGAATTGTTACCACTATAATACTGAAAGAGTGAATAAGACCACCGAGAAGCAGTAGAACATCGAACATAGCCAGCACATGACAACAAAATCAGAAAAACTGATTGTGTCTCTGAATTGTTAGACTCCTGTATTTCGTGGAGCGACTAAAGCGCTCTTGGGGCAAAACATCAGTGCTGGAGATTTTCATGGCAAAGATGGACTCGGGGACGCCCCAGACCCCCAAGCTCCTGGGCTGGAACTGGTCCAGAAAGAAGGCGCTGTGTCAGCCATGATCCGAATAGTCGATGAGAATCCTGGAGAGGTGAATATGAATCTACAGTAGCAGATATTTGAAATAACATGCATTTCACCAAGTATTTTTACCATGTGTTGTTCCTGCTTCTCTAAGGTGTCTTTAGTGGCCACGGCTCCGCTGACGAACGTGGCTTTGGCGGTGAAACTGGACCCCTCCTTTCCCAAGAAACTCAAAGGCCTTTACATTATGGGTGGCAATACAGACTGTGAGTCCCTAAAACATACTATTTTATCAGGATAGGGTGGGGCAATATATCAAATATTTAGAACTGTTAAGTTTAATTTATTTAAAGTTTAATGTGAGTGCTTTGATAGATTTGTTCAAAGTAAATCTCTAAAGTCAATGTTTTTATTCTTTAAACAGACTTTTACTTGGCAGTGATGGCTTCTCTCAATGAAATAAATCTAAATGGTCGCAATTTACTAAAAATGAATCAAGGCCTTTAAGCCATGTCAATGCACAACTATACAGTAATATAGACAAACACTACCAGTCAAACGTTTGTAATTACGATTTTTGAATGTTTTTGAACAAGATGTTCTCTTATTCTCATCAAAGCTACTTTTCCAAATACAGTAAAAACAGTAATATTGTGAACTATTACAATTTAAAACTTTTTTCTTTTTGATTTTAAAATGTAACTTATTCCTGCAATGGTAAAGCAGACATCATTCTAATATTCTGATTTGGTGCTCGGATATTAATAATGGTTCTTATTGTTATCAATGTTGAAAACAGTTGTGCCTGTTGTGTTTCTGAATTCTTCCCAATTTGCTTCCTTAATTTGACTACAAGAGTGTATTTTTCAAAAGGATGAATAGTACTTTTATGCAATGCAATGCAATATTGCCCAGCCCTTAACCAGAATCATGTGCCCCTTAGTAATCTACATGCAAACATAATCAGTCTGATCTGTATTGCTGGTCCTCTATATTAACAGTTTTCATGCAATTTAAGCTGGTTAGAAATATAACAGCTGCTTCTCTTTAGCTCGCGGGAACACCACTATGTGTGCAGAGTTCAACTTTGCAGCTGATCCTGAAGCAGCTTATATTGTCCTGAATGAATTCATTTGCCCAATTTACATTGCAACCTGGGAGTTCACCTGTAACAGTAAATTACCATGGGTGAGATACTCTTGTCTTTAACAACCTAAATAGATGATTATGTATAATGTCAATACAACTGTTTGTTGGTGTTTATACATTCTTGTATACACAGCATCCATGTCATATAATATCCACGCATGTCTGTTTCAGGATTTCTGTGACGGTTGGCTGGCCCAGGACACGGATAAGGCTCGCTTTATGAAGCAGATCTTTAAGCACAGCATGGAGTCCAGCCACAGCGAGAGGATTGAGAAGGAGCTGGTGGCGGGGCAGGGATTCATCTCCTGTGATTCTTATGCTATGGCAGCAGCCATAGACCACACATATATTGTTGAAACCGACACCAAAGCGGTCACTGTGGAGCTGGCGGGGAACTACTGCCGGGGGATGATGATTGTAGATCACCTCGACCTTCTGAAGACGACTCACAAAGTCGAGATCTTGAAGAAGGTGGATTTGGAGAAGTTTAAAGTGCTCATGATGAATGCTTTGAAATGAATGTTCGTTAACAGCCATGATGTTATTACGGTACTAGATTATACTTTATTAACATTTGTTGTCAATTTTTACCCTCATCAGTGTCACTACACTACATTTAATTAAATCCTTTTTCTTTTGTCAATCGGTTTGAATGACATACAAACGTTTAATAAAATATACATTTTGATAAGTACTCTATGGAATATTGTTCTCATTTGTGGATGCAGTGATTAAATGAGAGATCATTCAGAACTGGAAAGACATTTTATTTGATGAATTCTGATGTTTGTGCACTCATGAGTATCATAATTGAATAACTCTTTTCCACAAGAAAAAAATGTGCTTAAAAAGCCAAATATTTACAAGATAGAAAGCTTTTTCTTATGTCTTGGTATCTTCATATAAACCAGTGTTATTCAGTCTCCCTTTCTACCTCTGAATCGAGATCGGGTGTCCAGCTGTAATAAAAAGAAGGATTTTAATATAAGAAAAGAAGACATCTTACCATGTTAGCACAATTGGCCATAGCGACTAGAACTATTAAACAAAATGAAATCAAATTGGTCTGACTACAGTGGAACACAGTCATTTAAACCACACACAAAAATGTATTGTGGTAGCACTACATAGGGTTATTTTAATTACAGTATCTTAGTACAGTATCTGGGTAATATAAGGTAGCCACATGGGTTATGTGGGCACATGGGTAAATACCTACCTATTACCCACATAACCCATGTAGCTATCTTGTAGCCACATGGGTTATGTGGGTAAAAGGTGGGCACATGGGTAAATACCTACCTATTACCCAGTTATTGTAATTACTATATATATATATATATATAATACTTTGTATGTATATGCAGAAAAGGACTGTAAAATAAAGTATCCCAAAATGTTAAATGAAACAAAACAAATCTAAAACAACTTGAACTTATGTTGCTTTCAAATTTAATTCATTTAGTTTAATAATTATAATAGTATCTCAAAAATACTAAAATGATCTGTACCACAGTACAAATGCTAATAATGTGGTACCAAAAGATCACAATTCAATGGTATTCCAAGGCGGCCGCCATTTAAAAGTTTCTACTTAAACAATGAATTGGTGTAGAACTAGAATCACAATTATGTCTGATTTCATTAAGAAAAATCTACATACTATACACTGATATATATTCAAATGCATCAAATCGAATAAAGAGTTTATGAATCAGAATATTAAATGGATTTGTAAAATCTCAATACCCAGCCCCAAAGGACTATCAAAAAACTTTTTTTTTCCCTAAGCAGTTCAGAAAAGGATATTGGAAACTGACCATGGATCTCTTGCACTCAAAGAAAGCCACCTGCAAGCCTTTGCAATGTCCTTCCTTCAGACACTCACTGGGCTTCTTACCTTCCTGTGGACACAACATATATGATGCACCAGTGACCACTGTAGAATTGCAACTATGGAATCAAACCCCATGCAAATGGAGGAAACTGTTTTTTTTTTTTTTTTTTTTTTTTGAATAGCTGGCCACGGTAGTGATCTCTGTGCATCAAAGGGTTTAAGAAATGTTCTAAACTTCTATTTGACATCTGAAAGGCCTATTGCAGATGAGCAAACACTGAAAAATACGCATTCCACATGTAAACACGCACATCAAATAGACTCCGTGATGTACGTGTATTGTCATAAAAAAGCATTCACTCAAACCAAGGTAAATGAATTATTTAGAACAGTGTGTGTATGTAATTGTAATATTGTACAACTACTAGTTTCCATGTTTTAAACTGTGAGTTTTATATCACCCAATATAACAGGAATTATCCATTTCATGTGCAAAAGGAATAAAATCATGACATAGATCTGTGTTGTGATACATGTTGATATGACGCTGATGTTACCTTCACTACACAGTCATGCTGAAGGAGACAGGCTTTGAAGTCCTCTCTTACTCCAGCGCAGGCGCGGCCATCTTCCTCTTTATCTTCGTAATATTTGGGCATTCTGTAGCGCTTTCATCCAAATGAGTTAAAGTGAAATATGGATTCAGAAATGCGGCAAAAAGAGTAAAACAAGCTACTGATAAGTCAAATGTGAGATTATTATGAAAGCGGCCATGATAAATATGACGTATGTGCGGAAGTGGAACACAAGTGCGTTGTGGGAATTGTAGTTCGCGCTTGCGAAGCTCAGCTAGTTTCCACGGATAGTAATGCATATATTTAAATATATGCTTAACAATAAAAAGAATAAAATGGCATCATTCAACGCTATTTCCAATTAAATTTTTGGAAATAGTATTTTACACTTAATTTATTTTATTAATAATTTTACTGTCCCTGTAGCAGTGCAAAGTAGTTATGCAAAGTATTTATATTGACCAGAAGATGGCGCTAAAATAATGATTTTGTCCCTCAAAAATATTTGTAGACTTAAAGGGGTAGTTCATTTAAAAAAAAAAAAAAAAAAAAAAAAAAAAAAAAAAGTAATTCTGTCATCATCAGGTCCAAACCTGAATGAGTTTCTTTCTTCTGCTGAACACAAAATAATACATTTTAAAGAATGTTGGTAACCAGACAGTTGACTGTAGTCTTTGAATGACCTTCAATAGTATTTTTTCCCCTACAATGGAATTTAAAGGCTACCATAAACTGTCTGGTTGTCCAGCAAGAGAAAGAAACTCATACAGCTTTGGAATAACCTGAGGGTGAATCTATAATGACAAGTGAATATATTTTATATCACTTTAAGCCACACTTACAAATACATCAAATTTCATTGCTTTAGATAAATTGTCAAACCACGTGGTAATTATTTCAAAGAAATACGGCACAAGCACACTTAAAAAATGTTTCACAAAAATCTATTTAGCTCTATACGACAAGAGTTTGGACAATTTAATTTGTCAAATATTAGTGGAACATTTTTTTAGTTAGTCCAGGTGGTTAAGTCACAGCAAAAATGGCTCTCAAAAATGTTATTTCTAGCACACGTTTGCAGAATCTGCCTGATATTTTGTTATCTAATGCAATGAACATTCACAGATTTAAAGTGTGACTTGTGTGAAGTGTGCATGACATTTATTATAATACAATAATTGCATTAAGAAAATATTGTTTAGGCCCTAAAATGGCATGTTAATCACAATCACAATATAGCTTTTAAAAGCATGAAAATGTCATTATGTCACTCACATGTGCATGATTAACAAATGTGTAAGATGCAATAAGGGGGAAACTAATGATGAAGTATGACAAGACTGGTTCATTTTGGAAGAGTTTATTCAAATCAATGTCAGAGCTGGAGAAAGACAGATGAAGGCACATGAAAGTCTACAATGCACCATACACGAGGAGCATGTTTCATGTCTGATTCATCTCAATGCATGACTGAAGGGTGGATTTCAAGATGGACATCCCAGAAACGCCTCATGACAAATCCATCTTTCAGTGCAATAACAGGTGTGGAAACGGATCACTGAAGCAAATCTGCAGCAATTGAAAAACTAAAAGGCAACAATATGGCAAAACACTGAAATTCACTTGTGTTTTCACTTGAGCATTGTGTCACATGAGCATGTAAAGAAGGGTGATACAGAGCTCCATATTAGATCAAGGATCTACCTCAGTCTCTCCTCTCAGGAGAGATCATGAACTAACTGTAAACAAATGCTATGACGGTACATTGGATTTCTATTACAAAACACACATTTCTCAAGTACTGCAATTCACAAGCAGCTCCAAGTAGTCACAAAAAGGAGGGTGTATGTAACTAAAAAGGATATGCTCTGAAACTTGAAGCATCAAGGATTCTACAATGATACATTATGCCAGGCTGAACTAAAACTTCTATATTATTAAAGATATATACAATCACATGAGATGAGAGCACTTTGGAAATCTGTACAGCAGTTAATTCAAAACCAAGTCTCTACTATGCCAGGAGTTACACGCAAAATAAATAAGAACCAGCACACATAATACTACCGAAATGTAGCTGCTCCATTCAATTTCCATTATAAGTCTATGGTTCTGGTAATATTTTGCTTCAGACCAGGCCCACACAGAATCTGCACATGCAGAACTCCACTGAAAGTTCTACACGCTTTTACATGTCGTGGATTATTGGATAGTTACGGAGCCCTCAAGCGGACATGGTGATGGGAATAAATATGCGACGGGAGGTCAAATTTATGCTTCAATGCTTATTGCGTTTGTTTGAAATTATATTTCAAAAATATTACAGTCCCCCGAGAAACTTTTTTTTTTTTGAGTTCCCTCATAAAAGTATTGTGTTCCCCTGAAAAACTTTTTATTTGCTCGGAAAAAAGCATTGAAATATATTTTGTTCTCCCACTTCATATGATGTTCTCTCCTTTGCGTTTGCTTGCAAAAGACTTGAAAATAGTTTTTCCACGCTTTGAAATACAATCTCATTTTTCCAATCACCATGTCCTTTAAGGGACTCCATATATTATACTTTTAATACCCTCAGCTTCATTAATCACATTTTACCACACAGAAAAAAAAAAAAAAAAAATCTGCAGATTCCATCTGGACTTAATCATGACTCACTGAACATCCAGACACAGCATAAAAAGAAGAACATTTTCCGACTGAAAGCAGATTATTTGAAATGAAATTGAAAATGCTCAATGAACAAATGAAAACACGAAAGAATCTGGAACATAAACATGAACGATTCATGCTCTAAACGTAAAACATCCCACTTAAATCAAGCATATAACAAATTGTCCTATTGTATGATTTAAGCGTTTTGGCAGGGTGCAAGGCAGTCCTTTACCAGGCCCTCAAGGGACGCTGGATGTTAAGGCACAGAGGTGGGCGGCCCTGCACCCTTCTGAACTACACAAAGATACAAACATCAACCATCTTCACTCGACTTCAAGCCACGTCATAAATTTCCAATGAATATAAAAACATTTACTTCTTGTAGAAATTAAAGATTTATTTCAAATAAATTAATTCACCTTCATAGATCGTCATAATAATAACAACAAGAACATCAACAGCCATTTAAAAAAACTTTCCGATTGAAAGCCACGATTGATTGGTTGACAATAAAATGACAGAGGAAAATCCACTCGTGTTGACCAGGTAGAGGCCTAAGATATGCTGTTCGTTTTAAGAAATATGTTTTTAGATTTTGGCAAAGTAGTCAATAAAATAATAAACAGTTTTTTTTTCAAAATGTTCTTAACAGAGGGCCTGAAACATCAACATCCTGAAACAAAAAACCTATAAAAACTATATAAATACGTAAATAAAATAAAAAGTTGACGTTTCTGTCGCCCTACTTGTTCATCTTCCAGGCGTGGTCACCTGACCCAGGGTTTGAGGTCAGTTACAGCCTATGACGGCAGAGCGCTGAGGACATTCTTCATCAGTAGGGGACATTTTCTCCAGCATTGGGTGCAGCCTTGAATCCTGAACTTGAATCCTTCATGACAGCAATGATTGCAATTCTTCACGACACAAATTCAGTGTCTGGAAACATTCTGTCAAAAAGTGTCTTTTTCTGTACAGTAGTAGTCACATTCACGCAACAGAATTCAGGCAATAGTAAAAGGGAAAAAAAACAAAGTCTGACGACAGAAGGGAAAGCCAAGTAGATGAGAAGAGAGAGTGGTGAAGGTACCAGAGGAAGACGAAATGACAAAAAAAGTAAGGAAAAAGTAAAGTTTAAGAGCAAGGGTTACTCCACGTGCTCTAATATAATGTCACGGTCACTCTTGAAGCGCTGTAGATGCGAACAGCATGTCCTTGTCTAGATGACCAGAGGGTCTCAACCACTGGACACATTCAGGTAGTTATCCAGGAATCCTCTTGATATGGATCTGACAAGAGACAGAAGCCAGATCGATGAAGAACATCATCATCATCATCTATGCAAATACAAAAACATGTTCTGGTTTCGGGCACATAAGATTTCTTTGTAAGATTAAATACCAAAATAACAAATAAAAGTTAAGTCTGGTTCAGTGCAAAAATAGTCTCACATAATGAAATACTTGAATTAAAGCAAAAATAATGAATATAAATGAAAATTTTTACTACAAAAACTATACTAGCATTTAGTACGATATACTGGCAAATTCTAGACGGGTCTAAAGCAGAGGAAGCAAGCAGACCTCGCTCACAATCGCCCACACGGCGGAGTCTTTCTGGACCGTCAGACGCACAGCCACCACAGGGTTAAAGGCGGGCTCAACCGTCCCCTCTGCCAATCCTTTCTCAAACTGAGCTGAAGAAAGACACAAAAAGATATTGTAATGTTAAAAGGGAGAACAGGAATGATTATAATACATTACAATATTCATTTAGCAGACACTTTTATCCTAGGCGACTTACAAATAAAGAAAAATTTGAAGCAATTTGAAAAGAGCAGTGGAAAAAAAGTTATGGGGTTCAGTTACTGGAAGCATCTTCAACGGTTTCCTGAAGATTGTAATGGTGCATACTGGGTATATATAAATAATAACCATTTTTAGCTTTGTGTTTTGAAAGCTAAAGTACTATTGGGGCCTACACTACTATTAAAAAAAGATGGGGTCAATTTAAAAAATAAAAATAAAAATCAGCAAGGATGTATTAAATTTATCAAAAGTGACACTAAAGACTAGCCAAGAAATCTAGACGCACCCTGGCGACAGCAAAAATTATTTCACAGCCAGTGTGATCTAGCAACTCTCAATAGATGTTTTAGCTGGAAAAAACAAACTCTGGTCAGGCCAATCACATCGTGTATAGAGTCGGCGGCCGGGCTTAACATAATGACGACAGAGTTGCGACGGTTCACTGCTACTTGAAAACAAAGAATGGCTGCTGCTGGCGAACAGCTGTCTTTCGATTCGGTTTTGATCGCTACTCTGGATGATTTGCACTTAAGCTTTTCTTTGAAAACAGAACAAAAACGCCACTTGAGCCATTAAAAAAAAAAAAAAAAAAAAGATGTGTTCAGAGTTTTGCCGACTGGATACGGTACAAGTTTAATATATCAATTTGCATGGGACTCCGCCATCACCTTCTTCGTTGCTCTGATTGGTTGTAGCGCTATCCAATTGTGTGCAGAGAGAATTTGAAAGACAACCGTTTATCCCGCGCCCAGCCCTGTCAACTGTCAATCCTGTCAGCCCAGGATTGAGTCCAGCCCTGTCAATGATGAGTTTCCAGACCTAACATCTTGATGTAGGTCTGGCATGCCAGGCTAACAAAAGAAATTTCTAATGTTACAGGCACACACGCACATTAGCACACACACGCAAGGTCTCTCGCTCTCTCCCTCTCTGCCATGCGCACGCTACACAGTTTGAAGTGACATATTCACGTAGCCTTTTGAAAACCGGGACATTCGGTGTCCCGGGAGAAAGCATAACTTTTCCAAGACAGGTTATTCAAAAGATGGACAATCCCGGTGAAACCGGGACAGATGGCAAGCCTAACTGAAACGCCTTGAGTCTTGAGTTTTGTATCAGCAACATACACAGCACAATATTCCTTAATTGCCTTTATGCACAGCTGCACTACTTCCTGAACTTAAGCCAGCTCCTTGGTTCCTGTCTGTCATTATTGGATAAGTTGATTAATCCAGGTGTGCCTGACCTCAGTAGTCACGGCAACAATAATCAGACACACCTGAATAAGTTCGGCCAATAATGGCAGACAGGAAACAAGGAGCTGGCTTAAGTTCAGGAAGTAGTGCAGCTATGCATAAAGTCAATTAAATGAAGAGCCCAAAAAAAATAGGAGGCGAGGCCTAGTTGAGTAGCATTAGTAGTGTGTTGAAACTTGTGGTTATGGTAAGGGCTGTGACATTTCAGAAGCACGCTTGAAGCGGTTGACCAATCACAAACAACCGACCAATCAGAGCTCATTGTGCTTTCAGAAGGAGGGGCTTTATAGAGACAGGAACTAAACAGAGTTACTGTGTGAGACTGGGAAGAGAGGTGCTGCAACAATATGAAAAAAAATGTTTTTTGAACATTTAAGCATAAAAACCTATACTAGTAGACCCAAACAACAAAATCAATCAAGACTGTAAAAGGGACCCTTTAAAGAGTCAATGGTCTCCCCTATTTGCAAGCAAAGCACAATAATTTGCTTCTAGTGCAAAACTGCTGAATTGAGCGTGCGAGTAACAACTCACCAAGTTTATAGAACCGATCTTCTGTCCGTTTATATTTCTCTTTGGTCTTCACCTCAGCGTCCTGCAAGAGATAACATCCTCATTTAGAAGCACTTAAAGAGCCAAACAATGTTAATGCTAACAATGTTAGACAACTGTGGGAGCATTACTTATGATAAAATAGTAAGTAAAACCATGCACACAACCCCATTTACACAAACTCGGATATATTACCGACCTCATTTATTCAAGGAAAGTCTTCAAAAACAAACATCAAAAGCCCATTTGAAGGCTTTTTAAGCTCTGTATCACAGCAGGATGGCAGTACGCTGCCTCATTACCACGCTAGCTCAACCTGCGACGGACTGAAATGAGCCCTGGTGGCAGCGTACACAGGAGACCTACACCGGATATTCCTGTCAACCTGCTGATGTTAGACTCTAACAAACCTGTCACCTGGGGCTTGTTTTGGACATTTAGAGGAAAACATAAAAATATAATTGAGGACGTTTTATTTTATCATTTTACCGAAAAGGGCAGGATCTCGACAGTAGTGTTCTCGATTTTGTCTCCCGGGTGCTCCTGGTTTCCACTGCGAAAAAGGAACCTGCCAATCAAAGGCTGATTGTTAATGAATATGCATGTACAGGCACACACTCATGAATATTCGTCAACACGCATGTACAAACATTGGCAGGACATGGACAAGAGTCTTACACTGAACACACACTGGCATGCACAAAGATAAGGGGTCTCTAAACAGGCCCCTACTTGAGCTGATAATTAAATACATTCACACGCGCGTAAATTGACACTTCCATCTTGTTAGCACCGTTTCTACTCAGACAAAAAAAAAAGACAAAGAACGCCCAACTCATCCATCCAACCTAGCATGGATAAGAGCAGCAATAAATTAGGGTAAACAGAACAGGACCAACATAAATGTATTGCAGATATCATTCATTTAGATTTTAAATTACAAGATAATTTGAGAATTTATTCTGATTCAAGGTGAATCAGAGTGCCAAATTCTGACTGACGAGAGGGGGAGCTGGGGATGGAGGAGGGTTATACGCTCCTGATAAGCACGATAGCTGATAATAATATATATATATATATATATATATATATATATATATATATATATATATATAGGGTCGTATTCCTATTGGTAGACGTGGATCAGCTGATGCGGGCTTGACTAACGTGACCAAACAAAACTGATTCATGGAGATCTGTGTATCTGCTTAACAATGTTTTCTCCATTCTCCATTTCTTTCTCTCCAGAGGTTTTGGGTTACAGCGTCTTATTTTAGAAGCTTCTCATTAGCCACCTCTCCTCCCCTGTGAGGACAGTGAGACATGAAGACATGTGACTGATGTCGCTCAGTGAACATCACTTTTAGGAGAAGGTGAGGATTACAAAAAAAATCATTTGGGTGTGTGTATGAATGGTGAATTAAAGCAATACGTATAAATGCAGCACTGCTCTTTAGTCTGGCCTGAACCTCTCACACCATCCCCAGGTCATCAGGCCATCATTACCACCCAGCCTTGTAAATGTGTGTGTATCTCTCTCAGTCGCAGACAGACTGACCTTTCTATGTTGACAGGACGATCAAACTTGAACAAGACATAGTCTCCAGCCATTGGAGTAATGGCCCAGAAGAAATCCTCGCCCATGTAGGTCTTCTCAAGCGTGTGGCCTTGATACACTTTAAGAGAGGTGGACACCTCTGCCGGTGGGTTCACGTGAATCTTATGCAATAGAGGTTTCAGGAAGTCTTTATCCTGACAGAGTAAAATACACAGAGGAAGTTATGAGTAAAGTCAACAGGAAGTGTGGCTGATGCTCCAGCTGATATGTAACAGTCCTTAAAAGTAAAAATTGGATTAGGAAAAGGTCAGCTATTTAAGAAAAAAAGAAGAAAGTTTGTCAAAAGAAAACAGGATACAGGGGTAAGACGAGATGTTATAAGATAACAGGAAGCTTTGTATTGCAGAAAATCAAACTTTAAGAGTACACTGTGAAAAAAAGTAAGTGATCATGCTGTAAAGTTTAGTCAACTCAAATTTCTAAACTCACTTAATACAACTTCACATTTCAAGTTGATTAAACTCAAAATTAAGGCAGCATGAACACAAAGTTGAAACAATTTGTTTAAGTTGACCAAGAGGAAAGATTTGACAGATGCGAAACTCGAATCTAGATAGTTTTAAAGCCTATCTTAGATGATCTGATCACAATTTGTCAGCGACAGGTTTTGGACAACAATCACTAAAACTACATTTGTAATGTAAACAATAATTTGTCCTGAAGGTCCATCTACTGGCTTGTCAATTATCCATTATGCTCAAACAAGGGTTTTAAACTTTGGGCATCCAAGAATGTTTATACTGGGTGTAAAGCGTGGCTAGAAAAAAATAACACTCGTGTAATAAGAGTTACCGTGAGTTTCTGGATTTTCCCAGCAAGGGAGGAGTGTAGGCCTACATGCTGAAACAAAGAGGGTCTGAAACGAATGCGCAGACTCGACTTCTGTCTCTCACAGTGTTTCTGAAGAGAGAAAAAATGAGGAACACATGTACAGTACATTAACTGTAAGAACGAAGGAATAAAAATAGGGTAAAATGTATAAATAGTGACATAATGTGTGTGTGTTTGTAGAAAGAAAGACAAACACACACAAAAAAGGTCCCGTTCTGCTAAAAGCCTCTCAATGTCTCAGAAAGACACTCGCAGGAAGAGAGTATTAACTTACGGCATCTTTCTCTGGGTTGCATACTTTGACCCAGAGTATGTGATCTAGCAGCCAATCGATGGGTTTCTCCTTATAAAACATGAAGATAAACTCCACAATGAGATTTAGATCTGGGGCTTGGAACATTTTACCTGGGAGAGAGAGAGAGAGAGACAGAGAAATTCATTCAAAACCAAGTAGACAAAGGCTGCATTTATTTGATTAAAAAAAAATGTATATGAAATCTAGTAACTGTTTTCTGTTTTAATAAATCACATGATCACACGTCACATGATCCTTCACAAATCATTCTGATATGCTATAAAAAAAGCATTATTTTCAGTGTTGAAAACAATGGGCTCTATGCACGGCGGTATTTCCGGTGAAGGTCTAAGGATGCTGGATAACTTCCACCGATCGTAGAGTCCAATGCAATACCGAGAATTTATATTGAATTTTATACTCCATGGTTATACTAAAGAAACGTTAGTCACAGAAACAGACACCCCTCGTTGAAAATAAACATAACTATATATAAAATGACATCTAAACATATGAAAGTTTCGTTTCAAAGACGGGAGGACAGTAAATTTTGAAGACTCTGCCATAATCCTGTTTTCCTCAGGTTTCCTCCGCTTAAATCCCCCCCAACCGGAAACTAACGAGCATCCTTGCGTCAAATGCGGAACTTATTCGTGCATTTAGCCCATTGTGCAATTTATGTGCAAACCGTGATACATTTTTTAAGGATTCTTTGATGAACAGAAATTTATTTGAAATAGAAATCTTTTGCGAAAGTAAATGACTTTAAATGTCACTTTTGATCAATTTGAACACATCCTCGCTAAACAAACTTTTCTGAAAGTGGATTTACAACCTATGACAAGAAGTCTTAAAGAGATGCAATTGGATGTCATCATGGATGTCATACGTTTACGTAGTTGCAAAGTTACTTATAGTTCATAGAATGTCTAAATTGGACCATCAAAATAAAGTGTAACCAAAAAGAAAAAAAAAAACTAAAGAATGTTTACGTAACTCAAATATCTATGAAACAATATTATGGTGCTTTTTGGGCTTGATATCTCCTGGACACAGTGTGCCTCTGATGTACGGCCAAGAGCAGTGAGATCATTCTATAAAATCTCTATTTCAGTGGTTTCCACAGCAGAAAGAGGAACAACATGAATGTGAATAAATGATGACGATTAAAGTGATATCTGAATAGCTGTACATATTAAACAAATAAAGATATTAAAAACATGTCACACCAATGAAGCCCAGCTGTGAAAACTCAAGGATCATCCAGTCCTCAGTGGCGAGTTGAAGGGCAAAGTTTTTCATGGTGGCAAAATAGTTTGGCTTGGCGACGATGTCATCCTCTAACTGTAAGAACAACAGGAAACAGATATGAACCACAGCACAACCCATAAACCAGATACATTTACTGACACAAGCTGCACTTACTATACATATCACTTCTAACTAAAAACCCCAAGAATACAAAAAAAATCATCACACTTCACACACAGACACTCTTGCCACTACGTAAGCACACACAAACACTAAGTTAAAGCATGTCGTCCTATACCCTTGAGTAACTTGAGTTCCCCCCCAAAAAACATGAAAGCAATACCTTTCCCCTCTCCTAAGAGAGCACAGCGTGTATAGAGAGCACAAAGACATGAAGACACTGGAGAGACTTATTGGCACGGCAGAGAAAAAAAAAAAAAAAAGAATGAAAACATTCGGTAGAGTCCAACACACAGACTGACAGAAGCACGTGAGAATGAGGAAGACATGAAAGTTGAAAAGACATAAATGAACATGAATACAAAATGATGCTTTTTTTTTTGTCTTGGGAAAATGTGAAAACGTTAGGAAAGAAAGACACTTTAAGATGCAGTAAGTGATTTTTGAAATACGCTGTTGAAAAGTGGATCAGACCGAGCACCAAAACACACTTGTAGCCAATCAGCAGTAAGGGATGTATACACTCATGATGGAGGAGAGAAAGAGGTCAGCACACAAGAGGTCAAAGGTCACTCTTCCGCCAAAACTAGACAAATATTGATTTCTTTTTTTTTTATCGTATTGCTTCGCTTCAGAAGGCCTTCCTTAACCCTCTGGAGATGGATTACTTTTATGATTTATGGTTTTTTCCTTTTTATTTTTATGTTTATTACCATTTAAACCCATTATAAAGCTTGGAAGAGCCAGGATATTTTTAATATAACACTGATTGTGTTTGTAATGAAAGAAGAAAGTCATAAACACCTAGGATGGCTTGAGGGTGAGTAAGATATGGGATCATTTTCATTTTTGGGTGAACTAACCCTTTAAGGAGCAGGAAGTCCTGAAAACGGTCGCCGAGGTTGCTTTATTGTTTCTCGATACACACGTTGGTTTTGCTGAGGTTTTTCACAGAACTAAGATAATGCTGTCTTTACTTGAATATACACATAACAAGCCATCTTCACTTGCTTGTTCATTATTATTATTATAAGTCTGGAACGGCTAAACCTCCACCACCTGTTTCGATCATCTGCTCCCAAAGTAGTGTATCAGAAAAGTGAGAATACATACTCCTAATATATGGTTTCTCTTTTGGTTTCACTTTCAGTGATCAGAATAACCCTTTCTTTTCTCATTTGTGATATATTAGCTACTACGGTGTTATGAAGGGATCTTTTCTTTTTTGAGGGGATGGAATTTGCCAACAAATGAGTAGAGGAGCTAAATTGCAATTAAACATTTGACTTGAATTATCATAGTAACAAACTGACATCATAATGTCGGAGCAGATTCCACTATTAGCTGTTGCCTGTGTTGCATAACGTGTGTGTGTGTGTGTGTGTGTGAATGTGGGGGTGGAGGTATCAGGATAGGGGTGTGATCCTTTTGGGTACGGAGTGTGTTTTGGAGATTTCAAATATCAACAGCAATTACCAAAAAACGCTTACTCCATCTTTAATACACACAAAAATTCACTACCATTCAAAAGTTTGGGGTTGGTTAGACTTTTTTTAATGTTTTTGAAAGAAGTCATTTATGCTCACCAAGGGTGCATTTATTTGATCAAATATACTGTAAATATTCTGAATTTAAAATATTCGTATTGTATATCTTTATTTTATTGTATTTTGTTTTTTATTTACATTTTTGTAACAATAAGTGTCTTTACTGTCACTTTTGATCACTACCAAATAAAAGTATACATTTCTTTCTGTCAAAAAAAATCTCACTGACCCCAAATTTTGAAAGACAGTGAAAATGCAATAAAATACATGTAATGTTTTAAATAAAAGCTTTTTTTAATCAAGAACAATTGGAAAGTAAGAACATATAAAATCTCATCATCCTCTATTCACAAGGTTGATACTAACTCCTCATTAATATAGTGGACAGTATCTCCGCCTCACACAGAAGACCAGGATTTGATTCTCCAACGGCAGACTTGCAAACTGAAGGTTGTGGGTTCGATTCTTAATACTACACAGGACAAATTCTGAGGCCTTCATGTCATGTGATATCGCTTATATCCTTAAAGGGTTAGTTCGGTATTTTACACTTACCCTGTTTTAAGATCGTTTCTGATGAAATAGAACGGTTAAGATTAAAATTTGGACAAATGCTGCCGTCCCGAGAATTTGAGGTTTCTGTGTTAGCAGCCCCACCTAACACAATGCTCATCTATGTGCACTAGAACAATCATTCATAAAACTCATTGATGATTAAACTTAAGTTTACAAAGATGTGAAACTTGAGTGGTGTTCACTCATATGCTCACACAAAAATCACTGCAAAAGATGCTAGTTGTTTTTGTACCAAGTCAAGTCAATAGAAACGGACAAAAACTACAATAAAACCTGTTGGGAAGCATCTTTTGCAGCGATTTTTGTATGAGCATATACGTAAGTGAACACCCCAGACCACTCGGTGAGTTTTTAACATTACAAATTAATTTTACATGCTAACAAAATTTCCAGTTGGCAGAGGCTTCTGCTTGGTCTCTTACATCATGTTATGGTTTTCACGTTTGCTTGTCCTCCAGAGAGAAACAAATAAGAAGTGTCATGTCAAGTGCTACACCGCTTTAAATCTGCTTCGACCATGTACAGCTGCTCTGACTAAAGCGAATTCTTTCCTCTGATCATATTCCCAGCTGTTAAATCATAATCACTTCACAAAAACTGAAATCCCCAAACCACAAAGTCCCGTTTCCCATGACAACCGCTACAGACCCAAAGGGTGTCTTTATGGTATATCCAGATAAAGGGTTACCTAGGCAACCCTTGAGCAAAGAGCTTTTGGTGTACTTTGTCTAATTCTGAACTGAAGAGCTTCCAGTGGGGATCTTGCGCACTAACTAGAAACCTAAACAGAAATGTGCATCGCTCGGGAAACTGACTGTAAGAGGAGAATTCAATCAAAAGATATTTTAAGTTAATTTCACATGTATGTGTGACATGCCGTCACTTAGCCAAGACAATAAATAAAATAACACTAATTATTTTCTTAAAAGTGAATTTAGGCATTACAAAGTACCATATGAACATAATAATTTTGAGATTGGCTAAAGATTACATTTAACACCTGTTATTTAGGATAATTATGTAAAATAATGTTTTAAAAAATCAACTTAAAAGGTAATCTAAATGTGACGATGACGATGTGCGCAGTGTGACTGTACTCATTGGACTCAACGACCTTCTTTCACTGCTCCAAGGTCCATTTCCGATGCGTGTGTTACCATGCTACAATCGAACAAGCGTTTTTGGCGGTCATCATGTGCACTCTGACCGGTCAGCAGCTACACAGCCCATTCACAGCAGGGTGCGATGTTGTTACACAT